CTTTCTCTGCTACTGATTTTCAAACTTGAAGCAAGTGAAGAAACACCTGAGGTGTACACTGGTAAGAAACGACAAGTCTTCAGCCACCAAAAAAGAAAAAAATGGGGAGAGGGCTAACTTTCTTCTTGCTACATCCAGCAGACAGATAAATGGACAGGTTCATACTTCAAGGCGAGGAGCCCTGACAATAAGCTTGCTCTTTCTCGCTCTAATTTCTCTTAAGCAGCGGTGTTAGGAAGAACTGAAGGGACCTGCAGCCACCACCTGGATCTACCTGACAGCTGCCCTTCCTGGCTCTAACTACACAAAAATCAGGTGACTTCTGTCAGTACAGTATTTCTGCCAGTTGCTGATTACCATTCTGGTCTTCTTCAAAGGGTGCAGTAACAAATTGTTCAAGAGAGACCCTTGAACCTCTGACATTAATAAGAACATTAATTGTTTGTTTCTGTTTACACAAATAGACAGGCTAGCCACAGGAGATTCAACCACCTTAAAAAAAAAAAAAAAAAACAAAAAAAACTGTGAAGCCCCAGCAGCACAGACACCACCAGCAGTCAAGTATGCACTACACCCAGTGTGCTAACAGCTCCAAACACACAGTAAGTTCCCCTCTCCCGGTGTGAAGCTTAGCTGGCAGGTACTGCTAATTCTAAAATTATGCTGACTTTGGCAGGGTCTACAAATGGAAGACAGGTTTTTGGCAGGAGAGGCTAAAGGGAAGTTCTTACTGTTAAACAGTGGTAGCAAGTTGCAAGCAAGAATCAAAGTGGCTGTTTTAGGAGGGGAGAAAGCAACTGGCTTCTTGGAAGATTTTTAATTTTGAAAAGTTACAGGAAAATAAAAGAATCAACAATACTTTACTGCAACACTTCTCATTAATGGAGTACACCAGGTCAGTTATCTTCAACGTGCATTACATGACAAAGATGAGATCAGTTCACTGGGTTAACAGATTAAGCTTATTATATATACATATATATGTATATACATGTATTTAATTTGTTAGGGAGGACTAAACATTGAGATTTTTGTACCTGTGGTAATAACATGAATACTTAGTGTACCGGTCACTAGGTCTCCTTAAGTGTTCTGCAGATTTATGGACCTTGTTGGGTAAGTTAAGAGAATACTCATATCTTAGCATGAAACAGAAGGAAACTGTTAAGTCTGTAATACTGATAATAATTTTAATTGTTTCCTTGTCCTTGTTATGTTCAATATGAGAAGCTTTCCACAAAACAAGCAGCTAAAAGTCAACTAGTGATTTAAAAACTCCTTTTTTTTTTCCTCCACCTCCTCATACTACCACCCCTTTCAAATCTGTAGAACCACTTTTCAGAGTTAGCATTTGGAAGTATACAGGGAACTGCATTTTTTCCCCAGCGGGTACATAGGAAACACATTAATAACAGAAACCTCATGGGAAAAGCTGCAGTAGATCGAGTACTACAGATAAAATGTCAAAACCCAACAAATCTGGCAGAGAGCACTAACTTGGAGGTAAGAGGGGAAGGAACTCAAACAATATTATTGTTCAGGAAAGGGAGTACTTGAATTTTAACTGGCAGGATGTCAAAATATTAAGTCACCTCAATAACTGTGTCTGTAACTTAAAGGTACTACTGACGTGAAATCGCATTTTTACTATTTGAGTTAGGAAATGCTTCTTTGATAGATTATATTGTGGTATGAACACTCAGAACGTACACTTGAGCAGTCTCTTCCATTAACTTTTAAGAAGTCATCAAAACCATACAAAAATAAATAAAAAAGTAACCATGAGGGTTGTCGTTACCAAAGGATCTGTGCTATAAGACAGAACACGATCACCATTTTCATTCAGTTTCTCCTTACCCTCCCAAAGTAGAGCACAGAGCCTGTTTCTGTAACTAGAAAGCCTAAGCAAAATGCAAAAAAAATGAAAAGGTTTAACATCTAGAAAGTTATCTCAAAGTTAAGTTGTTTTTTGTGTTTCTACCTTTGAAAAATGGGGAAAATCTCCCAAATGGGTATTTTTACAATGCTCTATTAGACACTATTTAAATCAATGTTGCTTTTTCTAATCATTTGCACAGATGATTTTTAAAAAGGCTTCCAATATTCAAAAACCAGTTTCAAATTAAATAGCTATGAAGGTTTGTAATTGCCAACTTTCTAATACTCCGAGCGTCTTCAGCAGAGGCTACTGAAAGACCATGAAAAAGCGTAAGTACTATGCAGCAAAGTCTGGAGCAGCATAACTCATACAAGCGTGGGTAAAAAGATGGCCTGACACCTGAAAAGCTTAAGGAAATCAGCCAATGCAAACTCTGCATTTTCAGGTATGATACAGAAGAGGGATTGATGCAGAAAGCATAGCTATGAGAACTTGCTTTCACAGCACTATCATGATGCTGGCTGGGACAGAGTTAATTTTCTTTGTAGAGGCTCACACAATGCTGTGTTTTGGACTTTTGATGAAAACAGCAGTGACAGCACACGGATGTTCAGCTGTGGCAGAGCAGCTTGCACAGAGGAGCCTGCCCCAGGAGCTGGAGGGGACACAGCCAGGCCAGCTGGCCCAGGCTGCCCAAAGGGATGTCTCACACTGCCCAGCCTCATGCTCAGTGATGACAGCTGGGGCCAAGGAGGAGGAAGGGGGCGACACCATTTGTCTCCCCAAGAAATCACCCTGTGTGAGGAGCCCTGCTGGCCTGCAGCAGCTGGCACCTGCCTGCCGGTGGGAAGCAGCCAGTGGGGCCCGGTCGGGCTTTACCTGGTGAACTGTCCTTAGCTCAACCCACGAGTTCTCACACTTCGCTTTCTGATTCTCTGTCCCCATCGCACCTGAGGAGAGTGAGCAAGCGGCTGGGTGCTGCCTGCCAGGGCTACGCCACAAGAAGCAGGCAGGTGTAAAGTTGAAGTCTTAGTTTGGGGAAAACGAGCACAGAGGGTGTACAGGCAGACTCATGTTCAAGACCACTGCCGGGGCTGACTTCGTGCAGGTGGTTACAGCTGCTGCCAATGAGGTGACAAAGCAAGGAATTGAGGAACAGGCAACCTGGAGTCTGAGAACTAGGAAATTCACTCTTTAAACAACATGAATGACCAAGTTATAAATATCCCTACTGCCAGATGATTGTCAGAATTGACCCTGAAAACTCAATTGCACCATAACACCTATCCACATGCCCACAAAGTCACATAAGTAAGGGGAAGGAAAAAATTCAGTATGTTCCTAGAATGCCCTTTGGCAATGTTTGTCAGCTTGGAACGGCTGTCCCAGCTTCAGTGCTCACGTTCAACAAATGCAGCTCTGCTATTCAAATACTAAATTACGACACACACACAATCCCAGAACCCCAAAGCAAAATGGGAAAAACAAAACAATGCATCACATCAGAAGTGCTTAGTGAGTGAATCCCAGAAGATAAACCACTCAGCTGGACCTAGCTGTGCATAAAATAACCAGCTCACAGTGGATTCTCACTTGCAGGTTCCTGAATCAGTTTGTGACAAACATTAAGTGGAAAAAGAGCACAAGATGAAGTACAAACACTGTCATGAGAGAAAAATGCAGGCAAACTCATAAAATAAGCAACTTATAAAATAAGGCTCTGAGCAATGCATTCATGAACTTTAAGTGAAGACCAACTGCTGCAAAGGCCTTTCCTGGCTGAGGATTTGGATAGGCTTGTTCTTATTAGCAGTCAATATAAAAAGTACAGATAGAAAGAAGGGATAAAAAACGATCCCAGGGTTATTTTAACTTGCAAGTATATACCTCAGACAGAATAGTAGTACTGTAAGCCACTCATGAACAGGACACCATAGAGATTGCAAGAAAGTCAGACATGGAGCTCCCTAGACCAGTGAAAATATGTTTCTAGAGGTATTGCAACACACGTTGTGCACATCATCTACTACTGCTATGCAAAGAGTTTAAAGGAGTGACATACCAGCAATATGTCAGTATGTATGGAAGGAAACAAAAAACAAGCTCCATTTTCCAGGGCACAGCATACTGTGTATTTTCACGAGTGCTGCAGGTAGATGCAAAGTCATTTTGTTTCAGGCTGGGAGTCTGAAGCTAGCTGCAGTTTCCCCAGAGCAGAACGCTCCCCTTTTTGATGGCCTGGAGCAGCAAGTTTACATCTGCCTGCTGACCAGGGACATCACGTTTAAAAGGCTTAGCCCATTTATCTGCTTTGCCTTAGAAAAACTGATGGCAGCAGTTGGTGACTTCTCTGGGGATTCTTTTTACTTTGCAGGTAAGCTTCCTACAACACACAGATGCATTGTTTAAACTTTACATTACAGAGCACTCAAGTTTGTTAAAATAGAGAAATAGCATTGACAACTGTCTGCTCTCGAACCTGCCTCCCCAGCACGCCCTCCCATTCCAGCAGCCGGTTTTGCCGAGGAGCATCCACGTTGCTAAGGGCCCCGGAACAGAGAATCCACCGCAGGGCCAGCAGACGGGGAGCGCAGGGAGCCAGGCAGCACCAGGGCCCCTACCGCTTCGGTGAGCACCAACTTGGTTTCTCTCACCAACTCTGTGCCCTGAACTTTGAGGTCCTACAGCCCTAAGAATGAGGTGCGGGTACCAAGAGGGCTCGGAAGCGCAGTTCCGTTCCGGTACATCTCACCCTAAAACACTTCCAACACCCGGTGCTTAACTTCGTATTCAAGCCGAGCACCAGGCACGCCTTTAACACGCTTTTTAATCGCTGTCCAGGCCTCGTTCGTGCCCAGCTCGGCAGCTCGGGGTGTGACACAGCACATTCAGCCCCCGGCAGCGCGCACACCCCGGCAGCACGGGGCTCGGCCCGCTTCAAGCGGCAGCGCCACACCAGCCCCGCTCTGCCCCGCTCCGCGCCGGGACGCTGCCGGGCGGGCACCCTGCCGGCCTGGGGCCGCCGCCACCGGGCTCCCCGTCAGCCGCCGCAGGGCCCGGCAGGACGCAGCGGGCCGGCGCCACGGCCCCTCCCCACCCCCGGCCCCGCTCCCGGCCCTACCTGCCCGGCAGGCGCTGCCGCATCCTCCCGCCGCGCGCAGCCCGCGGCCCCCGGCCCAACGGCCCCCAACGGCCCCAACGGTCGCCCCTCGCTCCTAGCCCCGCCCCCGGGCCCTGGGGCTGCAGGCGACTTCCGGTAGGCGCAGCCGTGAGGGGGCGTGGCCTGGCCGCGGTACCGGGCGCCGCGGGGCTGACGTCGGCGCCGCCCTGCGCGAGGCGCGGCTCGGGGCTGCCCCCGCCCGCCCGCGGCCCCGGTGTGCGCGCTCCCCCCCCCCCTTCGGCGCGCGTCGCCCGGGTGAAGCGGCGCCGTGGCGAAGGAGCGCGCTGCCCCCGCTCGGCCAATGGCAGCGCGGCCGCCGGGCCCGCCCGCCAATGAGCGCTGAGGGGGCGGGGCGAGGGGCGGGAGCCGCGGCGGGGTGAGCGGCTGCGGCAGCGGCGGGAGGTGAGCGGCGGCGGCGGCGAGGGGATGGGGCGGGCCGCGCCGGGCGCTGCGCTGCGCTGCGCTGCGCTGCGCCCCTCACCCTGGCGCCAGCCTCGGCCCGGCTGCGGGGTGGGGGGGTAGTGCGGCGGCGCGCTCGGGCCGGGCTGGAGGAGCTCGGCTCCCTTCGGCATGACTCGGCAGCGCTCGGCTCCCTTCGGCGGGGCTCGGCTCGGCTCGGGCTCGGCTCGGCTCGGCTCGGTTCGGTTCGGTCCGGCGGCTGCCGCCGTGCGGTCGGGGCCCCCCTCAGTGAGGGGCCGCGGGGCGGGGCCGCCGCCGCCCGCCCCTGCCCGGTTCTCCTCAGTCTGCGGGGTGTCGCCGGTCAGCTCCCTGGGCTTAATTCGGCTGCGTCTGTGCCCTGCCGAGCCTCTTCCTTTCAGCCTGCTCCCGTGGCGCGGAGCCTTGCATCTTCCCTTGGCGTTAGCAGCCCCCGTGGCTGGGGGGGATCCCGTGACGGCACCGAGCGGCCCCGGCCCGGGGGGAGCCCCGGGTGTGCGCAGTGTGTGAGGGTGCTGCCGGCGGGGCCTGCTGCCAGCGGGGCGGGGCCGCGCTGCACGAGTGCTGTCAGCGCGCTCAGGGGATGCCTGGATGCAAAAATAAACCGTAAATGCCTCCTGTGCCTTTCCACTTGCAGCCCTCAGGGCACGGGGGGCTGTTGTGCTGTGTGAAGATGGCCTCTGGGCCAGGAGTTTGGCTTGGTGCTTACCGCTGTGCTCTTCCTTGGGCCCATTCTCCTTGCACTCCTCAACCTTCTTGGCATTGGCCATGCCTTTAGTTTGGAGTCATTTGCACGGTTTGTGAGATAACATCCCACAGTGTTCCCCACAGCCCCCTGCCAGAATTAGTAGGGAAAGTAAGAGGGCTCCTCAGGAGCTTCACTGGCAAGCGGTACTGCTGTGCTACCTGTTGGCTTCGTGCTAGCTACTTGCTTCTTCCCTGCCCCCATTACAGGTCTTGTCCCAGTTTCCATCCTTCTGATTATTTGTGGTTTTATTTGTTTGTTTTGTCATTCACCTAATGAAATGCTTTGCAGAAGCTCCTATAGATTAGCTGTATAAGTTGTCAAGATCAAGTCATCTTTAGAAGAGAGATGTGAAGTTGGCTCGATACGGTCTACTTCTATTAAATTCACTAAGGGTTTTATTGCACTGTTTCTCTCTTTGATTATTGCTTCTCTTAAATTTGGTCAGGTAAATATCATTTGGATTACTTCCATCCTAATGGAAGTGTATTAGAAAGCTTGTGGTTATGTCTCCATTTCATTCATTTTCCCCGTCACTGTATTGCTTAGCATCTTTCCTGGATATTTCTGGTGATTAGATAGTAATGAGATGTGATAGTTGTTCCACATGCAGGTTGCTAGTGTCTTATTGTTACTAAAATATTCTTAATATACAACTTGAAATGCCATCAGCATTCCGCTACATAATGCGGTTTAATCTCAAAAGCTAGTCCAAGTAGTGAGAGAGTGTATTAAAAGTACTGAGTTGCACCATTTTGTAATGAACACATTTTCTATGTAATATGGACAAATAATCTAAGTTTTCAGTCAGAATTAAGGTTATACTTTTCTGTATTCAATAATGATTCTAAACTTGACTGGGAATCTCTTGAATTTGGTCTATTTTTGGCTTAATTATAGAGAATGATATCCAAAATACTGGGTTTAGTGCTTCTTAAGAATTAACAAGGAGGGATTTTTCCTCTCCTAGCATACTTTCCCAAGTAAAGTTGAACAAAAGATTGTTAACCAGATGCTATAGTGCTGTATGATGTCCCCTTGCCAGCAGAATCAGTAATTATAGCCACTAACTGCTTTAAAGATTAAGTACAACCTTTTTTTGTTATGTACTGTCTGTTGAGGTGAAAGATTGTAGCCTTTCTAGCAATGCAGCCTTTTTTCTACACCAACTGAAAAAACTGTACAAAAATAGAATTGAGATAAGAGTGGGCAATTTTCAGGAAAACTACAAAGCATGTGATGCAACTGAAGAGACAAATTAGTTCATGTTTTATTTTTTTGTTTTTTTTTAAATAAATGTAACTTGTTGTTGGGCTGGAAGACTAATTACAGCTAACTAAATCTGTTTTGTGTTTTTTGCCTAGTGCTTGAATAAAGATGCCTTAAGAAGATAACTATGGATAAGTATATTAAAGTGCAAAAAATTGGAGAAGGATCCTTTGGGAAAGCAATTCTTGTCAAAGCTAAAGAAAACAGCCAACAATATGTTATTAAAGAAATTAACATCTCCAAGGTGAGTGGTAGTATTAATTACTGATTCATTGTTTTTGTATTCCTGTCCTCAAAAATCATTATCTTCCTTTTGAAGATGTCAAATAAGGAGAGAGAAGAATCAAGGAGAGAAGTTGCTGTGTTGGCCAACATGAAACATCCAAATATTGTCCTGTATAGGGAGTCATTTGAAGGTAAGATTAGTTAATAAAGTGGAACTTGAGATAAGTGTGACTTTAGCAGTGCATACATCATACAATTCAAAAATCAGTGTTTCTCTTTTTACTAATTTTCCATCCTTTTATTCCTTCAGTTCTTTCTGGTTGTAGTTTTTCAAAATTACCATGTACATTACAAAAAAAGAAATTGCAAATATCAAATAGAAATATTCTTGTCCCTTTCTAATATGATTCAGTTTTGGCTGATGCTTAAATGAAATGGTTGTGTTTTCCTTTTTCTCTGGAGTGTGAGTCTCCTTGAACAATTGTGTGTGTATTCTAACAAGTTGGATGCTTATGTGTTTTTAAAATAAGTATGGTCTAAATTTGGATATTGGCAAACTGGCAAGAGCAATTTTATCTTGGTCTGCTGTCTTAGAATACAATCTTCAGTAATTATGATCATATCATTGCTTTCAGAGATGGAAAAATAGAAGGGACTGTTTCCTTCATCAAGCTTTGAAGGTTTGAAGCTTTGAGAGATTTAATTCCAAACTGTTTTCACAGTGAATGTCCTAGAGAATAAGCAGAACAGATAAAAGATTGTGTGCCAGAAAGAGCAAGGCTATAGAGCCTGCTCTCTAACACTGCGGTGGTGGTGGCGTTTGTTTTTTGTGTTTTTTTGTTTGTTTGTTTTTACTTTTTACAAGATAGATCCTGTAATCTGTAGTTCATGTTGCTTCTTTCTTGCTGAAACACATTGACTTTGACTTTGAACATACTGATTTGGTTTATAAAACAGAGCTATTTCAGCATCAGGTCCACAAGAAATTCAGGCTGCTAGGATAATCATTTAAAATAATTCCAATTAGAAAGCTTAAGGAAGATACGAACACCTTTAAACTTAAACAAAATAATCTTGTTATGAAAGACAAATTTTGGGAGCATTTGGGAGACTTGTGTGACTCAGATGCTTTCATTAGGTTTGACTCAGTTTAAATGTTATAATTAACTTTAATAAAATAAGATTTTTTCTTTTTAGCAGCATGTGATTAATTGTATGCATTTATTCATCTCTTCTCAAAATCACGTCTAATCTATAAGTAGTATAGGTCTTGTTTTACTGCTATATTTGAGTTGATACTCACGAAATGTTAAGATTTTCAGTGATACGTGGGTACCTTGCAATTTGTTTCTGCCTAATCCCTGTTCAGTAGTAATTGGAAAAGATTGCTTTAAGGAACAGAACTGTAGCTTCTCATCAACTATATTATATATGCTCAAATTTCATAGTGAAAACTTGGGTAAGATTTTTGTAAGTTTCTCCAAATTTCTTTCAAAAATGAGACATTAATGATATCCATCTGTCATTACCTGCTGAAAGTTTTATTAATGGTCTTCGGTCTTGGAAATGACTGTAAGTCTGCTATGAGAGCTGGTGATCACCACTTAATATAAGTAATATCTTGCCCAGGTAAAACTGCAAGACAGAATCAGGAAGACAGAGACAATTAACTGAATTAGGTCTGAAGTCTGTTTTTAGGGTAGGGTTCTATGGGATATTTGAAACAGCAAACGATTTCAAGAATGATTTTATATTATGTTTATTAAGTGACATCTTTAATTTCATGGTGAATCTTAGTATGTCAAATGATATCTGAAGCTACACATGAAAATGTGTCATTTTTGGTTGCTTTTTGTATGACACTTATAAGATAAACCTTTGCAGTGAAGATATTTGTAATGTTATGTTAAAGGCAGTTTTTTTTTTCTTCTTTTTGAAATATTTTTTGTTTTGTTTTGCAGAAAATGGCTGTCTCTACATAGTGATGGATTACTGTGAAGGAGGAGACCTGTTTAAAAAAATAAATGCCCAGAAAGGAATCTTATTCTCCGAGGATCAGGTAACAGCAAACTGATGCCATAGTGTTTTGCTGCATGATCCTTTCTTCATTAGTTTCAAGATATTTTGGTTAAATTATGTAGGTACGGCTTCTTAACACATATAGGAAGTTTCCCAGACAGTGGTGGTTGTTACTATCAGTCACAGTACTGTCTTTTTTGTAGCCGGAGACCCTGGGTACGTTATCTGGGGTTTGGTCTTTGTGTGTAAGATGCTTTAAAAAAAGTTGCATTTTCTGCACAGTAAACCAAATCTGATACATGAAAAACACTAAAGGTCATCATGAATATTTTTAAACCCATCAGATATCATGGCAGAGGATTTTATTTTGTAATACTGACTTCCATTTTTCAGAAGTATAAAATAACTTACTTTGTAAAATACAATAATACAGCAATATGAAGTTTGCCTCATAATTATTTTTTCAGTAGAAAAACGTAGTATTCTATTGGAAGTATATCAGCAGATTTTCTTTCTCAGTCATGTATGTTATTAAAGTCACTTATACTGTGTGAGAGTCAGGGATAAGTGAGAGTATTTTCATGTACAGATTGGATGAAACTAAGTGAAAATATATTATGTGGGATTCGGGTTTTTGGTCCTAAGTCATGTGTTCCCTTGCTTACAAATCATTTTGATGATTTTGCATCTGCATCTGACAGGAGTACCAGAATCTGAACTTTCCTGGAAAAGCCTTTCCTGGAAAGGCTTATGAGTATTAGCTCTGTTGATGGAATTCAGAATAGGGTAATGAAATATTTTGGACACAACTTGTAAAAAGCCAAATTTTCTAATTTGGACTCAAATACAAGAAGACTTTAAAGTGGAAAATTGAAAAATACACCTTACGTTATACTGTAATGTTGAAATTTATGTACTTGTATGTTGGGAATGTGAAGTCATTATTCACATGGAAAAGTTTTTTGCTGCTTTTCCCTTTTTACATTGTGATTTTTCCAAATTTACAGAAACATGGTGTTTGTTGCCTTGTTTATAATCTTATTAAACATTGTTGCCATTCTCATTGAAATCTGCATTGTAGTATTTTTCTTTTTAACATAAAATATGTAAAATTACTGGATGTTAAGTAAGTGTTTCTGTAAACATGGGTGTAGCTTTTTAAGACTCTTGGCTAATTAGCTGTCTGCAAGACTTGTTGCACCAATTTCAGCAAAAGTGTATTTGTCATGTTGCAAGTTCTGTGTTTTAAATGTTTTAGCCAATCAAATTTATTATGCATACATTTTATTAGTTTTTAGTACTTAATGAAACTAGCAATTTCAGGCTTAACATCTAACTTATGTACATGCTTTTTTCACTTAAAAGTTTGCATTATAGTAACAGTACTGTGACAGTCTTAATGATTCTATGGTATAAATGAAGACAGGTTTATGGGAAGAGAGAGTAAAACCTTGAGTTGTAAAACCGATTTGATAATATCTTCAGTAATATAGCTAGAGAAGCTTTCAGATAAATTAAGATGCTGATGTTGCATTTTCTCTTTTATGCATAGATTCTGGATTGGTTTGTACAGATCTGCTTAGCACTAAAACATATACATGACAGAAAAATCTTGCATCGCGACATAAAGTCACAGGTATGTAGGTAATTTTCTTTTCTTTCTTTTAGCAAATTTACTTCCAAAGTGATTACATCTATATTTTGCTAGTGGAAGTTGGCAAATTATTGAAAATAATCTTTTTACATAATCACTTTTTTTTTTTTTAAAGTAGAAACACTTTTTTTCTTCGGAATTATCCAGAAAAGATTGATATGGTATTTGTATAAACAGACAAGAATTGATTTGAGTATTGCTCATGTGACCATTTCTATCTCTGCAAATAATTATATTTTTAGACTGTGCAATAGTGCTGTCTTTAATTTTGATAAAGCAGAACATGAGTAAGTCTGGTGTTTCACAGTCAGTAACACTAATTCTAGTGACTGCATAGTAATCCAATAGTAGAAAACCTTATTCATTTCAAAACATGTTGAGGGAAAAAAAAGTGCAATTGTATGAATGTTTTAATTAACAGACTTCTTAAAATTTCTATACCAAGAATATCTTTTTAACCAAAGATGGAACAATACAGCTGGGAGATTTTGGAATTGCCAGAGTTCTGAACAGGTAACTCTTTTTTTTATACTTGGTTCTATGATTCAATCTAAATTGCTTTGATTTAGGAAGTCAAAATCTGTGTTTATCTTATGTCAGTTAACATTCGTTCTTATTTTTTCCTTAGTACTGTGGAGTTGGCTCGCACGTGCATAGGAACACCATACTATTTATCACCTGAAATATGTCAGAACAGACCTTACAACAATAAAAGGTACTAATAACCATATTATTAAACATTTTTGTTAAGGAGATGATAGTGAGTTCTTTGGGAATCTAAGGCTGTTCTGTTCACATGACGATGAACAGCCACTAGTTCATCCTTTACCCAAGAAGACAGAGCCTCACTATATAGGTAGAACCTTACAGGTCTGTGTACTGCAAAGTAACGTGATGAAGAGATGATTTCGCTTAGTGCTTTGAATTCTCGATATAGCCTTGTTCTTAGTTATGGTTCCACTTTAGCCAATCTACATAGTACTGCCGTAAATGATGAATGTGAAACTATATTAAGAAAGAAGTCACAAACACAGTAATTGAATTTTCTAAGCACATGCATGAGTAGTCATGTGGAAAGAGCATCCTGCAGGTACTGTACTTTTACATTTGCTGTCCTGCCAAGTACACTGTATCTGGTGATGGTATCCCTAATGTAATTAAAGTGGTTATTATCTATTTAGTCTTATTCTTCACTAAATGGCTGAAACATGCCTATTGTTGTGAGTACCTCATACTATTTTGTACTGTTTTCTTAAAAGATAAAACGATTATAGCTCCTTGTCCCTCATTTTCTCCTACATGAGATTTCTTGTCCAATTGCATTCTAAACAAATTCTACAATCCTCTAGTAAGTGTGGTAATATAAGTAAATGTTAAACAGCGTAAATTGTCTGTTTAGCTGAATTTAAGATTTTTATTTGCTGTGTTGGATGGCAGGTAGCTTTTTTATACTTCAAAGATCTCAGGCAAATTTATACATTTATAGAAAACAAGCCTTTATCCATTGTTCATCTAATTTCTCTAATTTGGTTGGTGCAAATGAAAAGGTCTAAAATCTGGAGCCAAAATAACACCCTGTTTTTCAGACTGACCTTGCTTTTGATTGTTGATTTTGTTCATTTGCTGAGGTTTTGTAGCTTGGGGAGCTGGGGATGTACATATAAGGGAGACTGTACTCTTCTCAAAACACAGCATTTTGCTTTTCCAAGGTAGCATGTTTAGTTAATAATTTATATGTCAATCTTACACCCAAAACTAACTATTGGGATGTGTTCCTCTTGGTTTAGTGATATCTGGGCCCTTGGTTGTGTTCTCTATGAAATGTGCACACTTAAACATGCGGTGAGTAGGAACTTCTTGTTTCTTTGAAAGAATATTGAATTTAGAGATTATTTTTTTCTGCTGATACTGCAGATGTATTTGTACATTTGCTTAAGGGTTTTCATGGTTGCTTAAGGGTTTTCATGGTGACTGCTTAAAATTGCCTTCAATGTTTTAATCCCCTTTTCCAGTACTGACCAACATTTCTGGTGTTTTAGTTTATGCCAGTCTCTGCAGAAATCTTAGTATTGTATTTTTTTTAATTTATTTTCAAGGTACTTGTGTTAGCTGAAAAGATGTTAGCTGCAGTAACATCTAGTGTTATTTTCTTTCCAAAAACTTTACATTTGCATTGTAACTGAGCCTAAATTCAGACTGTCAGCTTTTGTGCAGGTAGATTCATGAATTTCTGTTTAGAATACTGGTAGTTCTTAGAAAAAATTCCTAAAGTGAGAGTTGCTTTTATTTATTTATTTTTTTTTAAGAATGCATCTTTAATCCACTTTTCAGTTATGAAGGGAAAAAAATCGCCATAATTTTATTTTAAAAATAGCTATTTTTATTAAAGAAGATTATAACAACATGTATTTAAAAAAAAAAAAAACCTTCCAGAGCATAAAGATTTCATAACAGCTTTTGCAATTTCTTACGGCGTGGTCTTTTTCTGGGACAACTGTGTTGACAAAGTTGCCTCTCTGAGGTGATAGCAGTAGGTTGTTTTCTCAAAACAGTGCGTATCGCCCAGTTTACTTTTTGTTGTACAAAGGTTGTACAAATTGGTGCGTGCTGCCTGCTGAGCGTAGGCTAAGTGTAAGAATTCCTTTGGATTTAGCACAGAACTAATGTCCATGTTTACATTTTTTCATTTAGAAGGACTTTTCTAAAACAGGCAGAAGGCATGTGGTAGTGGAAACTGTTTGGGAAAGTAAAGAGGATCAAGCAGATGTAGTTACATAATTATTTCATCCTTACCTGTTTATCACTGTCCATCAAGATCAGGGGGAAACCGTATGTTTCTATGGTATGAAGTAGCTGCAGTGTGATGCATTTTACATGAATGCAATATTTGGCAGCAGATTATTTTAAAGTATTGATGGAAATTGTTGATGGCCTTGAAAATTTGTTTTGATATGTTCAGGCAAATGAAAGGGGGGGATTCTTCGTGTTCAGTTGTTGGTTTGTTTTTTTTTCTTCGTCTTTATGTGTACCTTTACATGTGGGCAAGCGGTAATATGCAGTAACTGTTTTTGTTTTCTTGCATGACATAGTTTGAAGCTGGTAACATGAAGAACTTGGTACTGAAGATAATCTCTGGATCTTTTCCTCCTGTTTCTATGCATTATTCATATGACCTACGTAATCTACTGTCACAGTTATTTAAAAGGAATCCTAAGGATAGACCATCAGTAAACTCCATATTGGAGAAAAACTTCATAGCCAAACGGGTTGAAAAGTTTCTCACACCACAGGTATGGAGTTGGCTTTCATATAGTTTTGCTCAATACATCATAGGACTTTTCTTTATTCCAACGTCAATACACAACATGGGAAATTGGAATATTAGTATTTCCTACAGGTTTTACGCAGACCTTTCCAGTTGAGTAAAAAAGATTGTTACTGTGAAGTGAAAAGCAAAACCAAAACAAAATAAAAACAAACAAACCCCTCAAATTACTTAAGTTTCACAAACAAATATAAATTGACGTTTTGTTGAGTGTGCTATTTTATATGTGTCTATATTCAGTGCGGAATTTTGTATCAGATGCTCATTCATTTAGATAGGCTTTTTTCATGACATACAGGAATACAAGAATAGTACTGATATGAGGTAAGTAAATACAGGCAGAGAAAGGACACTGAGGAAATGAATGCAAAAGGAGACCTCACTAAGTATAAAGAATCCTAATGGACTGTAATTCCAACCTGAAGAAATTTCAGGAGACAGCCATGCGTAATTGGAATTTCAAATGTATATGACTTTCAACTAATTATAGTTCATATTACTGCTCCAATGAAAGATCAGAATAAAAAGTCTTTACAGCAATGCTTGTTCTCCTGCCTTTTACAGAATGGTTACGAAATTTTTATTTGGGGTTAGTCAGGCAAACGATAACAAGTAGAAGACTGCTACCAGATAAAGATATTTCATTTCTCGTAGATTGTGTAGACAATTTTGATGAGTGGTTCACTCACATGCTCAAATTAGAGATGCTATCTAATCTTAAAAAAAAAAAAAAATCTTAATAAATGTGTTGGTCACTGGTGCATACATAGTTCTGTATTCATTTGAAGTTATGGCAAATAGTATTAGAAACTTTCTGAAACAGGCATACACACTTATCTGAAAAGGAGATCTTTCTCGCTTTGGGTGTAAACACCGTTGGCTAACAGTTGTTCAACCTTTTGTTTAGCTTATTGCAGAAGAATTCAACCACAAAATCTTCCAGAAGTTTGGACCACATGCTGCACCAGGTAAGTAAATGTGTAAAGTGCTTTTGCTTTCCGATCTGGCAAGGTTGTATACCTACTTCTGTTCTTGTATTATTTTGGGTGTGTTCTTAGAACTGATTTTACAAGTTCTGAGGAGAAGAGAGAGGGAAGCTTTTTTTTTTTTTTTTCTTTTTTCACCGTGGAGCTGGATGTATGTAGAGTACAAATCATGTTAATGCAATCTATGAGTCTGTCACACTTTAAGTGTACTCTTTCTTCTTGTACTGTATTACGTTTCCAAAACGTAAGGAGACAGTGAAAACTGTAAATGCTGAAAACTATTTATTTGTTGTTAGTGGACGTTTTTTGCCTTATTAATGACAAATGGGTAATGAGAAATCCCACTCCTTGTTAAAAGAAAAAAAGGAGAGTAGGAGGTTTTGTTAGAGATTCCAGGATCAAACCTTGACTTCAATCCAAAGCAGTAGAATTTCTGCTATAGGTGGCAAATTAGATCACTTTCTCAAGTTTTCCTACTGTAGTCAGTTTACACTTATTTCTCAGATTTCTTCCTTTTTTTCCCCTCCTTGTGATTATTTGAAACCATGGCAAGTGCTCTGCTGTTTTTTAATAGTATTGTGAATGTGTTTCACTGCTGTCCTGCTATTCTGTAGTAAGAGAAACGGCCTTGCACTGATTCAAGTTCACAAGATGATATTGGCATATTTTCAGGAACTTCTCATGAAAAAAAAACATCCTGATGAAAATGCAGCTGGTTTAGGGCTCATCTGCTGACAGGAGTGTTGCAGGTTGCAGTCCAGTGTCATTAGTGGAGGGAGGCCTGCCTCTCAATTGCATTGGGAAAACTTTTCCCTGCGTTCATGACAACTGGATAATAAAACATGGCAGCTGGAACAAGTTTAAACTCTCCAGAGTTAAGTGAAGTTGTAAAAGTGAAAAGTTCAGGGATTGTGTCCTGCTATTTTGTGTATTATATAATATGAATATATATTCATATATAAAAATGATATTTAGAAGACCTGTTTTGGACAACTGGATTTATTACATTTACACAGTCAGCTCACATGTATGAAATGTTAGCACTTCACCCATTCTCCTCCAGCTTTGCTGTTCCAGTACCTTAGCAAAGGGAAATACAGGCAGAGTATACTGACTGGCCTGAATATAGCTGTAAAGCAGCCTTTTCTTGTTTAGCTAAAAGACCAGCTCAAGGACAAATCCTGGCTTCAGTTGCACCAGCTCAGAAAATTACCAAACCCGCTGCAAAATATGGAGTGCCTTTAGTGATGAAGAAGTCTTCAGATGCACCCAAAAAGCTTCATGAGAAAAAGATGATGACTAAATTTAGACAGGTAACTAACAAAGATACTTAAATCGAACTGTTTTGCTAATGTTGTATTTAAACAGTACTGTAATATTTTACATTCTTTTTCAAAATGTTGCTTATATGGATGTATGCATCTGCAGAGAAAGTAGTAGTACTGTAAATGCTTGTCTTGCTTCATTATGGATTCTTTTTTTTTTTTTTTTTTTTTTTTTTAATATCAGGATTTTTCGAGGCTGCCACCTTGGACTTGATTTCTCATGTGTTCTCATATCTTTGCATCTTTCTTCTTGGTTCAGAAATAATCTGCAATTTTTAAACTTTAGAAAACTTTTAATAACTTCCGAAAGTGTTGTCAAGCAGAGAAATTGTGTAATCAGAAGAAGACTTTCCCAGACTTGATTCCATGAGCTGATGAGAAATGATTTTCTGTATACCTTCATATTGTACTACCAATCTTTTTTTTTTCAGTTGTCTTTCTTTATATTCCCTATTACATAAAGCTGTTTGTATATAATTCCTTTAATTACTGCATGACCCAGAGATATTTCATGATGCGGTTAGTTAGGCACATTTCAAGCAGCTAGTAACCAAGAAGCTCCCACTTCAGCTTTATTTTCTGCCCTCAGCAAGACAACCAATTCAAATTGTCTTCTGAAGAAGTGGTTTGTTTGTTTCTTTCTTTTTTCCCCATGGCTCTTTGGAGAATATAATACTGAGATCTCTATGAAATTTGATAATATATTTGGTAGATGGAAAGAAAATTAGTTCTGAGATAGTTTTTCCTTAATCCTCCAGTAAGTGTTGAACCTCAGGGATAACTTCCATCACTTATCACACAAGCCTCATTTGCTCATCATGTGCAGTTTGAAAAAGAGAGCAAAAAAAAAAAAGGGAATGCACAATCGTGTGTCCTAATGAGACTATGAGTCTTTCTCTTTTAAAGCTTGGTTGTGAAATCAGCTGCTGTTTTGCTGCTGTTCATAATCAGTTTCACCAACTAACGCTAAACCCACTTGCACAGCAGCCCAAAGCCCTCACTGTGGCAGGATATACAGACTGAGGAAGAATCCTCATGCTGTAAGAAGTCAAAAATGCTGCAATTTTAAGACATTATTTGTGTGGGTTGTATGTAGTGACAAGGGATAAGATGTAGGCTAGAAATAATGGCTACGGTGTAATAGAAGTTTTCTTCTCTTTGCTATTGTTTCAAGTTAGCCTCAGCTTGCAGTTCTCAATTGATTTTTAATGGAACATGCATCAATCATCTCACTTAGTATTATTGCATGAATGCACTGTAGTTGAATTGCATTGACTTAAGTCTCTAAAGATTTCTGTTTTCTGAGATATTTGACTTTGAAGTACCAATCTGATGGGTTTGTCAAAAGAAAATCTTACGAATCTATCTGTATTCTTGTACAGCTGGGGGGGGGGAAGCTTTCAGTAACATTCACTTTTGGAGAAAATTAGAGTAAGAAACATAGCTTATTTTGTATAGCTGACTTTTTACCAGATATTCAATTGTGGCTTCATTTCCCTCTTCCATGGATAACAAGAACTTAGGGAGAGTTACACAAGAAAAGTCACCTAAGGATAACCTAATAACTCTGTTCTCACGTAAAAAGGGAATCTTAAAATTGAAGGACCCTCAAAGACTATGAAAAGATTATAATACGGAATGACATTGCCAGAGAAGAAAAATGGAGACAGATCTGAAATTACTACCTTCAGCTTTCAAGATGGAGCTCTTAGCAGAGGATGAGCAAGTACCATAGCCTTTGCCTGAGATCTGAGCAGTGCTTTACATTTACAACCTCCTCAGTAATGAATTATTTTAAACCGACTTCTGCACATACTGAATTGTGAATTGTCTTTTTTTCTTTGATTAGAGTTTTCCTCTCATTCTGACATTTGCTATCTAATTTGAAGTTTCACCTTTTATCTAGGCCTTTCCAACTCCTGTGAAGAAAATGAATCCAGGAGAAGAAAGGAGGAAAATGTTTGAGGTATCACCAAATCACCTGCTAATATTCAATCTAAGCAAAAGCTAGGTCCAGAGCAAGAATGACAAAATAAAACCTTCAAACCTTTCCTCCTGATCTTTTTTTTTCCGAACATCTAGAAATGATTCTTATCTTCGTGGACATAAGTCAGCAATTGGAAGACTAACCAATCTTGACAGACACTTCACAGAATAATGGCTCAGTAATAAATACCAAATTATATGCTTGTTTTTCAGGAACCTTCAAAAAAGAAAAGGTTAGAGTTGCCTGAAAAAGAAAAGCGCCAGAGAGATCAGGTAGACAAGATACTTGAGGCACCCTTTTTTTTTTTTTTTTTTTTTTTTTTTTTTAACATCCATAGTAATTTTAGTGAAATGTGTTGAGTTTTGTTGCGTGTTGCCTAGGAATACAGAGTAGTTCAGTTTCCCAGTTACTAAATATGTTTAATCCTTACATTGCAGATCAGTTTACTGAAGGCGGAGGAAATAAGAAGATTGGAGAAAGAAAGGGTAAAATATGTTTAAAATGTGTTAATAGTGAAGCTCAATTTTTACTTAAAGTGATTCCTTGAATTACGTTTTCCTTTATTGTTTTCTCCTTCAGATGGAACGAATAAACAGAGCCAGGGAACAAGGATGGAGGAATGTGCTTGGTTCAGGTGGAAGTGGTGATGTTAAGGTTGGCAGCAGATGCAGAAATGTGATGTAGTGTGTTCCCCCCACCTTTGGTTATCTGGCATGGTCTTATCTTTTCAGAATCATCTGCTCTTGGAGCTGTCCAGTATTAATCTACTGATAATTTAAGGCAAAGCGTATAACAGACTTTATTCCCTGGCTTCTTGGAGATCATATGCAATTTTCATTTTTAATACGTATTAAATTTCTGAATCTCCCCTCTTCCTGCCAGTAATGGTTTTCATGCACCACTTTCTTTTTCCACTCCTGCTTTTGCTAATTTTCCTGCGCTAAATCTATGCATGAACAGCTTCTTACATATTCAAGTTTGTTCTTGAATTTTTTTGTTGAAATATTTTCCCAGGTTCTCATACTGTGGTAATGGACATCTTTCCCAATATTAAAAATGTGCTTTTAAGCATTCATTTTTATTTACCAACGTCAATGACAATTACAATACCTGTATTGATAAGTTGCCCATAATGGGAGAAGAAATTCCTGAGTAAATGTTATTTTTGCCTGAAAGCAGTTAACCCCTTAGCCATTCACTTCTTAAGGATTTAAATTACATAATTTAATCTTAATCCCATGACAGTTTGTATTTGCATAACTGTTCTGGGAAGTAGTATCATGAAAATACTTCAATATAAAAATCTGGGTCCTCTATTTTTATCAGACAGAGACAGTGCAGAAATTTCAGTATTGCTGTGGTGTAAATCTATTGAACAATATGAAGTGGGTTAAAAACCAGCCATTTGTTTTGGTGTTAGGGAGTCCTACAAAAATATTTAGCCGAAACAAATTCAACACAGTTTTCATAAACAAGCTCTGGCTATGCACTGGGGTCAAAATGAGAAGAGGTTTTATTTTCTTCTCCTTGTACAACAAAACATGAAGAAACCAAAAGTACATGACCAGGTTTCATTAGCTGCTTTTTATAACTGTTCTTCAAAATAGACACAATTTTTGGCTTTGTGTCACATATTGCATAACTTAGCTTAAATATAAAAGCAAATGTAAAAGTACCAGACTTTCAAAACTACCATGTGTGGCTTTAATGGGAAATCAAAAACCATCATCTGGTTCCCATTCTCTCTCTTACGATGATGCTGGCAAGCACCAATGCAGGCTTCTGTACAACATGGTATATACGCATCGGCATATTTGGATCAGAGCTCTATATGTTACTGAAAACAATCATTCCTTTGATTAACGTCAAGAGTTTTATTACAAGGGCCTTAGACATGGAAAGTACTCTGTTTTTTTAGCTAAAACAGCATCACTAATTTCTCCTATTCACAGTAAAGTAAGGAAATTGTGTTTCAGTGGCTGCGCGTACTTTCTCTAAGTGTCACTGTGTAAAATATCAGAGCAAACATCCTTTAAAATTGTTTGAAATTTGTTCTCTGGATTAGGTAGTTTTGTGCGGATTGTACTGCAGGCCACTAAGGTATCATCACTTGAGGTTTCCATGTATTGTTACAGTATTCTCGATGTAATTGCCCATTTCCTTTCTCCCTCATGGAAACAGTGCAGCCAGTGACTCCCTGCTGGTGCTGTTAGTTTAGAATGGCAGTGTTCAAGCATTCCAGTAATGCAAGCCACATGGTCTCTAAATGTACAGCAGAGTCTTGCAGTGCATTATGTTCTCCTCCTGTCTTTTTTGGATTGGTTGCTCGTACCTGCTTCTGGGGTAAAGTAGGGAAAGAGATGGCAAGGAGTAGACTTTGAGTTTGTGCTTCTAGCAGGGGTTACAGTGTTTCTGCAGATGGTTGATGAACACCTGCTGCTTAGCATTTGCTTAGAGATTGATCGTGCTATTTCTTTAAGTAATCCTTTTGGAAACTGAGCTCTAGTAATTGTAGGTGAAACCTTTAAGAGTGTGTAAGGCAAGGCTTTGCATTCTATTTGTAGAATCAGTTGTCCTGTATAATAAGTTACTTTTATCCAGAAGAACAACGTACCAGCATACTTATTTTAATGCTTGGATAAATCTTCTAGTTAGTATTCTATCACATGGGCTATTGATGCGCATTGAGCAATTGAAAATGAGAAAGTGAGCCAAATTGCTTTGTTAAATATAGGCTGCTCAAGAACTTCTGGGTGGACAGCTATAAATCTGTCACATCTGTACTGTCCTATTTGAATGTACATGAAATACTTTGGACCACTCTGGAAAGAACATTCACAGATCCCGTAGGTTCGCTGCCATGGGCTATTTCACCACTTTCCCCAGGTGTAAAAGGAACATTTTTATGCATGTGCTGACAACCTTAACCTTGTTTTGCCAATTTCACACTTTCTGCATCCATCCTTGGCTACTACTGTACACAGCTGCTTGCAACATTTTGTTTTTTATTATTATTTTCACATGAAGGCTCTCCAGGAATTCGAACTCTTTGAGAGTGACAGAGATCATTTTCACAAAGCTGTAATTTGTGGTACATGATCTGAACTGCAGTAGGGAAGCATCTCAGTTCTGGTGATGCAGCCAAGTTATAGATTGGTAAAAACAGGGATTCTCAGATAAATCTGCTGCTAATGTCACTTAGCAAATTTAGAAGTGTGCTTAACCGTTTCTGACTTCAATTTAAAAAGTGAATGTTTGGATAGAAATGACTCAGTAGTGCTTCAGTTAGTTAGTACTGTATCATTTTTAGCTTTTTGTGCTAAAATTTTAATTTTTGCTATATAGAACATCTGCTATCTCCAGTTACACTTCAGTGGATTCCTCACCAATAACTGCCAGAATGTGTGACAGATGTCTCATGTATAATTACACTATTATCAAAGGGAGGTAAAATATTGTGTTATTTTGGAGTGCTAACTGAAAAACAAGTTTTTAATTTATCAATCTTGTAGTGGTAAAGTGATGAAAAGGGATTTTAATTCCTTGGTTAAAATATGGGAACACCAAGAGTAAAACTAGAACCAGTTCAGAATTGTTGCAGAACATAATAGAACTTTATTCTGCCAGAGAGGTGAAAATTAGAAGGGCTTGTTAAAACCATTGTTTGAAATGTCCACCCTACCTTTTCTGATTTTCAGGCACCGTATTATGGTGGTGGAGGTGGTCTTGGTCCTTTTCCAGTGTCTTCCAGAGGACAATATGAGCATTATCATGCTATTTTTGACCAAATGCAAAAGGAGAACTTTAGAGTAGCTGAAGAGAGGGAAGCCAGATGGAGGGCAGAAGTACGAGGCCGAGAAGCTGTTGAGAGGTATGGCTACCTTCCACTAGAGGTTGCACATGGTCTGCTTTAGATGAAAGTAATGAAAGTTACTGTACGTATTTATCTGCAGAGGAATTCCACCTGGAATACGTCCAGGAGTTCCTAAGGGGCCTGCAGGTCATCACCATTTACCTGATGCTGATGCAATTAGGAAAAAAATGAAAAGATCGAAGGAGGTGTCTAAACAAGCCAATGCAAACAGGTTGGACTATGATAATCCATAAATCTGTCCCTACGTGTTAGATTTTTGTTCTGTCTTGTTCCATTTAGTAGCTGAACATGTCTCAAAACCACCTTTATCCATTGGTACTGTGCTGTCTGTTTGTGTGTTGGTCCCTCACAGACCACAATTCTTTTAGAACCAATGGAAACCTTGGCTTTCCCAATAGGGGAAAAAAAGGATTACTTACAACTGTAACTAAACTAGATTTAAGCCAAAAATCCTGGCTTAATGCAGTTACAGTCTAGCTAAAACAATAACCCTCCTTTGCTTTTTTCATAGTTCTGTTTTCTGTGTTACCTGCCAAGATGCTTCCTTGTTCTGTCATCTCATTCTGACTGCCTTCTCTCCATCTCAGTGTTTGATCTTCTAACATAGAGGAGTGTCTAGAAAGCTTTCTGCATTCTTAGCTCCCATTTATTGACAAGTGGAAAACTTGTAGTAGCTTTCTTCATCAAGAGATGTGAATGCTAGGTGTTATAACAGTATGCAACTTACTGCAAAGAATAAGCACCACAGAATTATGAAGTGAGCGTGTTTTGTATATGAAAAAGCATTGATTGTCTACCTATTTCAGGTAGATTGGCAGCCTCTTTCAGTTAGTTTTTTCAAAACTGCGTTGCCTTTTTTCAAATCTGTTAATATTGTTTAAAGGACTGTTTCCACACCGAAGAGTGGTGTACGGGGAAGTATATACTTGGAATGTCAGTACTTCAACATTACTCACTAATTTTCTTAGAGAGATTTTTTTTTCTATCATGGATTATTTAAACTTCTGCAGACCCAGAGATGTATCCCATGGGGGCAGAAATAAATGGTGTTAATGTGAAGAAAAGGAAGTGGCCAAAGAAAACGTTTGTTCTTCTAAATGAATTCTATTCAGTTTTATGTTTCATATAGTATGTTTTACCTTCTAGGTTTTTCTATTTTAAAATTTATGGCAATAGTATAGCACATTTAACACTGATGTTAAAATTTTGCAAGCTGCAAGGTATGTGCTATTTCCTTTATAGTAATTTGGACCATTGTGAGCTAACTGAAATTCTTCCTGATACAACCCAGGACTGGAAGGTATATTTTCTCAGCTGACATAGATGCGTCTTTCCAGCCTTCTCTGTTTATTCCCAACCCTTTGCACACAGTGCCATCATTGACAAATCTTGCTTAGGTTAGAGGTATTATTATTTGCCTTGCACATTTGACGATATTAGATGATACTTGGTAATTCAGGTAAATTGTTTTAAATGTGTTTAAATTTGAGAGCAACTATAATAGAGGGCTGCAAATTACTAATAACCTGGAGATCCTGAAGAGAAATTGATTCAATTTTTCTCAAATCCGTAAACTAAGAAGCACTCGATGAATGTAGCATGCAGAAGTTTTAAAACAGATGGATATAATTTTCTGTCTATAAGCTGGATTACCTTTAACCTTAAATTGAACTGCTGTTCCTTAGCATTTAAAATGTGTTAAGTATTTGTACTTCATTATCTAAAAGTACTTTTTTTATCATAGTCAGCCTAGCAGTGTTTCTCTCTCACACTTTATTCTTTCAGCTAGAGATGAGATCTAAAGATAGGTGTTCAAGATGTTTACCCAAAAGAAAAAGAATGTTAAGAATAACAACTTTCTTGAAGATAGGTAATTTAAAGCATATATTTAAAAAGTTGAGAAATCCTTGAGTTACAGTCTTCCTGATTACACTAGCACAGCTAACGCAAAGCTAAGTACCCTCAACTTCAGCAATCTTTACAAATTGTCTCTTAGACAGCAACGCTGTCCAGAAGAAATCTGGTTGAAGCTTTTTAACAATATGAGTCACTCGGCATTAGAGTAGGGAGAAATGGTATCATGTAAAATTTAGTTGAAATAAGTTTTTGCTGTGTACTTGGTTTGAGACAAATAGTTTCTTTTGCTCAGAGAGCACCTCTCCTACCTGTAAGCTAAACTTTGTCAGTATGACCCATTTTGAAAGATTTCGTTATCCACCAGTTGAGTTTATATGCAATGAACAGTCAAAATCATATAGTGAGCCAAATATGTATATACAAAAATTATGAAGTGTTTCTTTCTTTACCAGTAACACTTATGTGGACTGTCCTGAATTTTCAGAGCAGCTATAGCATTTGTACTGTTGTATCAAAGTCATTTTACATCTCTCTTATTTCATGAATTATAGCATATGAAAATAGCACTTCATTTCCTAATTGCTGGATGGTGGGGTGAGGAAGACTAGGTGCCAGGGAGTGTAGTTAGTGTGCTAATTCATTTAAGAATTACTAGGAATAGTTCCTGTATGGCAAAATTATTTTTTCTTTAACTGTTTCAGCCTGATGAGTTATTGCTATCAGCTTATTCCAATACCTTCCTTCCTATTGCTGGACCCCCAATACTTTTCAATCAAACGAGGCTAGGGGAGCCTTGGAAAGGGGATTGCCTCATCGTTCTACAATCTGTTACAATATCTAACACCATTCATCACCTGTTTCTTTCTTTTTTTCTTGCTTCGTTTTGTTTAAATAGGGAACTTTCTCCCCTTAGTCTTCTAACCAATTTTTCAGAAACTGGTTCCTCTACAAAATGATCATAGGTATGTACTAGGAAACCTTGGCTGCCAGCTGCTCAGTTGCAATAAATTGAATGTAGCCTTGTTAATCCAAACAGGACCCTGATCTGGGGTGAAACGTGAAAAAAAACATCTTGATTTGGTTAATTCTGAGGTAGGAAAACTTCTTCAGAGTCCCTTCAAAATCAGACAAGCAAAAGTCCCACCAAATCCCCCCAAAACAGATGCCAGAATGCTCTTGGAATACTAGCACTGTGTCTGTTATCTAAGTGGTAAGTGGTAGAAGCTCTTACTCCAAGCATAGGTCAGATTAAGGCTAGTGGATGGCTCATGAAGGAAGTCTTCTTGCCCATCTCTAAAGGGAAGCCTTGAAAGAATCTGTCCTTTTTTTTTTTTTTTTTAACTTTTTAGTTTACAAATGATAATTAATGAAAACCAGCTGAGATTTTTTCAGAACTAACTGCACTAAAATTGTGATTTGATGTTCATTTTGTTTTGATGAGCAGGATATGGAAGAACAACAGTGTTCTGAGAGGGCATGTTTAATTGTACTTCTAATATAGTTGAACCTATTTTTTTCTCCCTTTTGTGGAATTCTGTTGTATTTCAGCCAATTAAAGGCATTTTGAGAATATACGTTTTTCATAGTTAGTTTTTGTGTCCTAGTTTAAATATATGTATAGGTTTTGCAAGTATTGTATTTCAGAGACTTTCAGCTTGCTATGTGTTGTAATTATTCAGGCAAAAAGGGTGGTTACCCGCAGAAAGAGCAAGGCAAGTTGAAGAATTCTGGCAACGAAAGAGGGAAGCCATGCAAAACAAAGCTCGAGCTGAAGGACACATGGTATGGAAAATCTGTCTTCCTACTTACATTACTGCTTCAGAATGCTTTACAAATCAACAAATGAAAAAAATTACATTTTTGTGCATGTCTAACTTGATATTGTGAACTTTAGAACATTACTTTTTTTTTCTGTTTATAGCTGTAAAGCTTTAGTTAAAATTAAACTATGTATTTTTCAGTAGCTTGAACTTTAAATGAAGTTTGATTAAACTTTTAACTCAGCTACAGTAGGGTGTTTTAGAAAAACATTCTGTTTATTAAGAAGATATTATAAAGACATCCAGCTTCAGTCCGTAGAGATTAACTAATGGACAGTGTCACAAAATGTTCTTTGTTCTTTATGCTTGCAGTTCTAAATTCAGTATTCCTCTGGGAAATGTGTTTTGCAGTAACAACGTCTTGCAAGTGATTCCTTTACATTAGGATGTTATTATTTCTGAAAAAGTGAATATGGAGAATCATATACCTTTCTATTTTTTATGGTTTAACATTCAAGCCAAAACTGGAATTCATGGAATCTTCATGAACATATGCTATTTCTTACCTATGAGGATGGTTCTTTTAATTTATTGTCTCATCCCCCAGTGACTAAACCACAGAAGCTTAGAAATACCCTCTTTTCTTGAATTACTGATTTTTCAGCTCAATTTGAAAGAGTATTTAGCGAAAATACTTGCATTCGGTGCTTCCTGTCAAGAATTTAACTGGAGTATTGATTTACAGGTGGTTCTCGGTACTCAAGCTTGAGAAAGCTAAAGCCCCAGTGTTTTACAAGACACAAACAAGGTCCATGTAACAACACATAATAAATGGAATAAACATACATCTAATTAACAAATCAATATATTTTTATTAAGTTCAGCAGGAGCTTACAGTATATCATGGAAAAAATAATATAATTATTTAAATATGATTTTACACCAAGCAGAAAACTCTGATTTAAAGGATTCTCATACTGTCCTGAGTTGGACTCCTGTTTTCCATTCCTTTGGGGTTGAATCCTTTTGTTCACAGTTACAACTCCAAGTACATCACACTAACCTAGATTATACACTGTAAATCCACATGTATTAGCAAGGTAAAACAGCTTGTTATGTTTAAAAAGGAAAATGTTATAAGTGTATACAAATATGTTACAAGATTGATGAGTTTGCTACTTATAGTATGTTTAAAAAAATATGATGATGGATAAATGCTTACTCTACATATGATGATTCCACTTTTATCTTAGGCTTGACTCGACAATGGCAGAAATGCCAGCTGTGTGCCACAACTTGTATTTAATCTAGATGTACAAAAACTGCTGTTTGTCAGAATTTATGCTTCCAACATAGCAGGAGAAAACCAGAATTGTAGGGAGAAGACCGCTGTAATATTAAAGGTCTAGCCTCTTCCTGGCTACTCAGGATTTTCAGTTATTACTGTCATTTGTTTCTTATAAGTGAAAGGGAGTTGTCAGCTAATTTCAGAATGACTGCAGATCATTGGTGGATTTGCTTTCTTATAAATGAACATTTACTGGATAAAGCAGATAATCTTACTGCCCCAGCCATTTTAAATTTTATACCATTAAATGGCAAACAGGGTACACTGCAAAACGTGGCAGATATCTATGGAGGCAGGCCCATTTCTGCAAGAGGAAGGAAATCCAGAAACAAGGAAGAAGAGGTATGCTTGCCGCATGTTTGCCACTTCCATCACACAAACAGCACTATTTTGACCTTGACTGTGCCTCGTTTCCCTGCATGGTTCATTTGTGTAACAAAATGAAGACTTTATAAGTTCCTAGGAAAAATATTTCTTTTTCTGAAATCTCGGTGTGTAATTTTTTTAATAATTATAAAATTATTGTTGTCTACAGCAGTTTGCCTAGGAAAGGTTCTTGAACATGCACACATATCTATAGGGTGTAACTGTGTTGTAACAGATGCAACCATTCCTGGTCCTTGATTGTATCAAGTGTAATGGTAGCTTAACACTGAGGAACATAAGTTTCAGTTTTCTTTAATTTAATTGGATGAGAATTCTTCTGGAAATTATCAAGTGCTAATATAGTGATATCAATAGCGTTTTTTCCCCTCATTTCGTTTGGCTTTTTATGGAATCTTAAGTATTATAAGCCAAGCATACTGCAGACAGTTTCAGTATAATTGAAACTTATTTCCGTTCTTTACTTTAGGAATATTTGGCAAGATTAAGACAGATCCGGCTACAAAACTTCAATGAACGTCAACAGATTAAAGCAAAACTTCGTGGAGAGAAGGTCAGTTTGAAAAATAAATACTTCAGGAAGTTGGCTGTGGGATCATGTTATTTTATCCCTACAGAAATATTTTTATGATAAGCAATTTTACATGTAAATATATATATACATATATATAGTAACACACTTCATTCTGTTCTACAGTTAGTGTACCTGTATCTGTTCTTACAGAATTCATGAAATTTGGATATTTCAGTTAGAGATGCAGCTTCAGTACATGTTACCCAATAACCTGTTAAAAAGTAGGACAACATAAAATTACATCTGAATTTGATCCACAAATCTGTCGTTAAGCACTAGCATGTTTATACTTTGTTGTGGTTTTGCCTTGGCATGCACCTAACCACCACACATGCTCACCCTCTCTCCCCAGGGGGTTGAGGAGAGAATCAGAGAGGTAAAAGTGCAAGAACTCACAGGTTGAGATAAGGACAATTTACTAGGTAAAGCAAAAGTCATGTGAGCAAGCAAAGCAAGGAATTCATTTGGTGCTTCCCACTGGCAGGCAGGGTGTTCAACCACTCCCAGGAAAGCAGGGTTCATCACATGTAATGGTTTCTGGGGGAGAACAGCAGCATCGCTCCCAACATCCCCCTTCCTCCTCCTTGGCCCCGGCTGCTATTGCTGAGCATGACACTGGGCCGTGTGGGACATCCCTTTGGGCAGCCTGGGCCAGCTGTCCTGGCTGGGTCCCCTCCAGCTCGTGGGGCACTCCCGGCCCCTCACTTGCAGGGCAGCATGAGGAGCTTGGAAGGCCTTGCCTCTGGGCCAGCGCTGCTCTGCAACAGAACAAAGATGTATTATCACTACTATTTTCATCAAAAATCCAAAACACAGCATTGTGTGAGCCGCTATGAAGAAAATTAATTCTATCCCAGCCAAAACCATGACAACGTATTTGCTTTTAGCTATAGGAACTTCTCTAGAATTGACTTTTTGACAATGTTCACACAGAGTATGTATGAATATAATAAAAAAAAATAATAATAATAATCACTAGTCCCAAAAATGACGTTTCATCCAAGTAGGTATTATATTCAAGTGAGGAGTTACATAGTAAAATTATGGCTTGTGTTAGTCAGACAGTCAGTGTAAATGATCCCAGTAGTCACTTTTATCATTCAGCTTTTAAGTACATGCATTGATGATAATTCTTTGAGGACTTGTGCTTTGCAGAATGAAGCTGGCAGTTCTGATGGGCAAGAATCAAGCGAGGAAGCAGAACTGAAACGCAAAAAGATAGAAGCACAGAAGGTAATTGTGAAAAGGGAGGAAATGGAACTCCTTGTTTTAAAATTTGCTTCTTATCTCATGAAGTTCTTTGCATTTCATTTTGCTATTAATAGTTTGTTTATGCATCCACTAATAGAGGTTTTTGTCTCTGGTAAGTCATATATACTGTATTGAGGTAACAACTCTGTTCAACTGATTTATCTCAGCAATTTCAAAATATGTTGTAATGTAGGCAATAGCAGGCAAAGATTCTCCCATCCATGCCTTTAAGGTTTTTCTCTAGATTAGATTTAGTCCTTAAGGCAATTTGGTATAACTAAGATAGCATTTTGATACAGAAGTGGGAAGGTAAATGTACCTTAAATAACAACTTCTAGTTAAAAGAATAAAGGAAGCCAAAACTCCTCACCTGTGCTGACAGAGGCCACATGTAGACTGTAAGAGGTGAGCTATTATATAACCCTGTGATAACTTGCATTTAGTTCAGAGTTCCAAATCGGTTGTAATTCATAGGAATCCAGTTTTTTATTAGAGCTTTATTCTTTGTATTCTTCTAATAACTCTATCTACTATACTATATTTATACCAAGTATACAGGTGTACATAGTCTATCTGTTCATTTTTTCCTTTCATCCTCAAAGAGCAATGTAAAAACAAGCAGACCTTATGCCTAACCTTAAAACTAGGGGTGAAACAGCAATGGAAGCTTTTTGTGTTTGTTGAACAAATGTAGAAAATTTAAGCTGAATATTTAATAGTTTATGATTAATGAATTTTGATTTTTTTTTTTTTTTTTTTTTTTGGAAAATAATCTAATTTTAAATTACTTCTACCACAGTTAATATGTACACTAAAAAACTAATCATGCCAATCAAGAATTGTAAGTATATTTTGAGGAGTTGTTACCATTTTAAATATTGAAGAACAGTTATTGTACTTGTGTGGTGATTTTGAGTATCAGTGGAAATCTCCCTTCACAGTCTATAAAGCAGTAAGTGAGAGAAAGTGAGATGAGGTGATCCAATAATGTTTCTTTTTAAGATGTTTCACAGAATGGTGTACTAATGTTTTTTATGGTTCAAGCTGGTCTTTTTTTTTTTTTTTTTTTGCTTGTTTCTTTATTATAGGCCCAAGCAAATGCTCGAGCTGCAGTTCTAAAAGAACAGTTAGAGCAAAAAAGAAAGGAAGCATACGAAAGAGAGAAAAGAGCTTGGGAAGAACATGTAAGAAAACCTATTATATGGTCAACGTATGTAGTACTGTGTATATGTATGAGGAAAATCTTACACTGTGATTGTAAAAGCTTACAGCTGTGATTCTCAAGCTTAGATGATATGTCTTCTGAAAGTGGAGAGAGCATCTGCCGGTCAGAATTCCCTCATTAAAAGCCTAATCTTAAGTATACTTGAATAAAAATTTGGTTCAAGAACTTAAGAACAGCAAACCTAAGAATCATTAGGATTACCTAAAGTATTTTATTAGTGGTCTGCAACTTACCAAATTGTACATAATCTTGTTTTGCTTACATGTGCTGTGGAGTGACAAGTCCCACTAGTGATGTCTCTCTGCTAAAAAAAAAAAAAAAAAAGTGGGATATTGTGAAGCTGATAAATTGGAAATAGTTAATATCTGTAGTTAACAGCTTAGTATGAAAATGTGTAACATTATTATCCTTTTCTAAGATTTACCTGAGCATATTTGATCATACTGTATTTTATGTGCAGTCTTTGATTTATTGTTTTATTTTTTATTTTTATTTTTTTATTGAATCTGTATTATACAGCTGATAGCAAAAGGAGTAAAGAGTCCGAACATGCCTTTTCATGTGGGAGCTGCAGGACACAGTCCTGTGCATGGAATGCAAGAGCCTGGAGCATCTCCTCCTAAGCAACAGCTTCCGATTAAGCCCAGTACACCAGTCATTTCCATGACTTCTGCTTTGAAGGAAGTGGGTGTGGTAGGTACTTCTGCTAAAAGTTACTTTTTTTACTTAAAACTAAAAAATCATAAATAGATATATTGATTTGGAAAAGAATTTTTAGAAGAATTTGCATGTAAGTTAAACAAAAATGCTTAAGGATGCTAGTTGCTGATAGGTCTTACACAATAGTTCAAATTGCTTTAGTCCTGTAATTGAGACTGATCAAGAACAATGCAGAATGTTTCTCTGAAAAATGCTCTGTGTAATGCAATATTGCCCTGTTTGTTTTTTTTTTAATCTGTAGTTGTGCATCTGCCTATTGTCAGTCAACTTGATTTGGGCAGGCTTTCTTTGTTTTTGGATACTAAGGAGATAGTTTTCTTATTCTTTACTGACTTGATATTATATACACTGTAGCTGCTGAAGTTTTCTTCTCACTTCGGCTTTTCTTTACAGGTCCTCTTAGACTCTGTCCTTGTCACTTTTCTGTTCTCTTACAGAATTACTCATTTCTAGCACTGGAAGTGGTTGGCATTTTGCTGCACATGTCACATCTAGCTTCATCTCTGCCTGTTTTGTGCTATGGATTTCCCTTGCCTGCTTAAACTGAGACTGGTTCATTTGCTCACCCATTTCAGATAGCAACAGATGTCACACAGACACTGTCCTTGAAATTCAGTCTTTGTGAAACCCCACAAAAACTGAAGTATTGTCCATTCTGTCTTAATCTATCTACAGTTGTCAATGAAAGGGTGTTAGAGGTGACTTTTTGCTGTTATTTCTATTAATATTCCTGAGGGTATTTTTTCTGACATACTCTTCTACACTGTATTTCATGCTTCTTTCTTTGAAGGATGAGAATGTAACTGCTATCCAGGAAGCTGAAGAGGAAACAAAAAAGCCAGATCTTGCAGTGCAAGTATGTGCAATTGTGTTCAGTTTAATTTAGTTTTCTCCTTTTTAAGGAAGGTACTGTTTAAGTGATACATATTGGTCCTTATTTCAGAATAAACGGCAAATACTGAAAAGATTGAATCAAAATCTTAAAGCTCAAGAAGATGACAAAGGAACAAAAGAAAATAAAAATTTATCTGAATCAGATGGGTCCGAGGATAGTAAGGAACAGCAAGAAGATGTCCATCCACTTGTAGGAGATCGCAAAAAATGGGAATCGAAGGCATCTGAATTGGTAGTTCCTCTAGCACAGTTATCATTGGAAGACTCTCTTTCTGGAACAGACCGTAAGCACTCAATTACCACCATGACATTAGTAAATCAGTAGGATCTGCTTTTATAAAGCAAGTACTATTTTTTTTGTTGCTGCTTGTGTGTCGTGTGTCATTTGCTTCTAAAACAGGTGGTTATGTATTGCCTTGCATAAGGAATAAGGCACAGGCTTAGTAGTTAAATGACCTGCTGATGATATAAAAAACTGTAATTTCAACAAATAGTTAATGAAACACACACTGTGCATTTCTTTCTTCAAGTAAATGTCTTTTAAATAGGCGTTAATCTAACAGAAAGGATAAAAACTTTTAAAATATATGCAAGTTTCTTATTCTATTTTTAGAATTATGTTTTTAAAATTATCTTTTATGTTTTCAGTAGAACAATAAAAACTGAGGGTTATGCTTTTAATCAAGCCTGTCTTTCAGATTTTCTATCTGCTTTCTCTTACATTTCAGGTGGAAGACCTTTTTCTTAGTTTCAGCGTGTCTTACCAAGGCTGTTTCACAACACAGAAATAAATGATCACTGAAAGACTTGCTTCATAGCACAGTAGTTTTACATGGTTAGGATGTTCAAAGATCAGGAAACTTCATTCTTTTGTTTTACTTCTTTGTTGCCACTTTTTATTCTCTGTTCTCCTCAGGGAGAAATAACAGAAACAAATGTCAAAATAGAGCAGGAGAAGGCTTTCTAGTTTCTCGTACATATGAGCAAGTTTGTAGAAGTAGAGGTGAACTTTTTTATCATGCCAGTTTTAAAAAAATCTCAGCCATATTTTCTTCTAGAGTACCTGAATTGCTGAAAAGACCTCCTGCTTTTGTTCTTAAGTTGAAGATGTCAATTGTCATTTAATAACTTCTGTTCCTAAGATGAATTGTCAGAAGAGGAACTCTAGACTTTTGACCACAGTCTTTAGGCTCTATGACTTGGGGAGAGGTGGCCTAAGTCTGGCTTGGTTGTTTTTAGCTTCGTGGAGGTTCTTTGTCTATAGAAAGTATAGACAATTATAGTACATTTATAATATATCTACTATAATATAAGTAAAGTATTTGATCATACTTAGAGTGAACAGAAGTTTCTAACGTGTTTTTGTTTCTGTCCTGACAGGGCAAACTATGGGGGAAGTAATTAAGCTAGATTTTGGTGAACCCCACAGGAAAGTCTGGGGCAAAAGCCCTACTGATTCAGTCCTGAAAATTCTAGGAGAAGCAGAGTTGCAGCTGCAAACTGAATTACTGGAAGAACTAGATATAACAAGTGGTAAGCACGGACAGTAACTATATGCACTGCAAGGGCAGGAAGTGCCAGCTTGCTAGTTTGTCTAGTGAGAATAATTTTGAAGTGATTGATGCACATTCTGTCCTTACTCTTTCTTTTTTCTTCTGTGTGTTGCCTCAGTTCTGAATGTTTATGAATGTTCCTCATGTCAGCACAGGCTCAATACCAAAATATACCAAAACATTTCAAACCCACTCAAGTAATAAGAAATTAAGGTGGATGTGTTGAAATGTCTTGGACTTTGCTTGTTAATATTAACAGTCTTTTTTAAAGGGATGTTGTGAACTGAATATTGAATTGCATAGCTCCTGTAGCTTTCTTGTTAGCATGTGACTTAGCATACAAGTGGAATTTCCTTCTGGACAAGTACTTGTTGTCCTTAATGCAAATTATGTTGCTTCTTTATCTTCCTTGTCTTTCTGGTGAACAACTTTCATACCTGTTCTTTTGCTATTGCCCGTTTTGTCTATTCTCTTTTTTGTCTATTTCTCTTTTCTTTTTGCTTTATAAGTGCTAGATGCAAGAAGCTTTTACAACTTTAGTATATTTTTGCCTTCATCAAGACAAAATACTAGTTTCTTTTATTAGAAATGGATGGTGGTACTTCTCTAAAGAAATTTAAGGCTCAGTTACATTTGTTACATATGTATTAATAATATTTACAGCTGTTAGCCAAACCTATAGGCTATTGTACCTTTTCACCTCATGATTTAAACCAGTAAAACCATTGATAACATAGTGATAACCATTGTATACCTTGCAAACTTTCGTTAAAGTTTAGTTTAATCTTGAAAATATCAGAGAACAGTACAATTTCATATTTATTCCAATAAATATAAAAGTAATAATTATAAAATGGCAAGTACACCTGCTGTTATGGGGGGGGGGAGAATTCTGTTTTTTGTGTTTCTGTTTTCCTTGTTCCTTCTTCGTAATAAAAGCATGCAAACTTTTCTACTGTGTAGACGTTATGTTTTAAAACCCAAGATTCTCAACTTACCTTGTAATCACATTGTAGTTTATTACCGAATTGTGTCAAAGCACTGTTTAAATGACAGACTAATTTTGTTTTAGATACTGCAGAAGTTGTTGAAGGAGATCATCACTCCTTAATTGTAAAACAGGATAAGGAAGAGAAAGCTTTTCCTACTGTTGGAGCTCAGTCTTCAGTGCCAGTTGGTATTTCACAGAACGAAGTGACTATACTAGAAGAATCTCAAAGAGCTGGAGCTACCCAGGTGCAGAGCAAACCTATTATGCTGGATGGTAAGTCATTTAATTAGCAATTCTAATGACAATCTGTTTTCCAATTCAATGAGGAATGTATACCGTAGGCTTGTATATCTACCCATAGGCAAAGTTCAAATTGTTAGAATGCCTTTTAGGTAGGACCAGATATTTTCTATGCCTGTGTAGTAATTGGATTCACCGACATACTGTGTTAACTTCCAAAAACTTACGTGCTTCTAGAGAACTCTCTGAAGAAGTGGAATTCTAAAGAGCTTCAATTCCTTTTTGTTTCTGCACACCAGTTGTGCTGGGATCTTTTCCCCTGTATGATATCAGCACCGTGAAGACTTATGGGGGAAAGTTGCTGAGAATTTTAGAAAACAGTTCCTTGGAGCTTGAAGATAGTCTTCTTGTATCAAAGCCAAACTTTAGTTCCGGAGCTACAAAATTTCAGTAGTTTCTGCAAAACACAGAAAGATTTAACATCAAGGATTTTAATGTAATCTTAAAACATGTAGTCTCTCCTGTCTTTTTGTTTGGGGTTCATTTTTAATGAGGTGTATGACTTCATTAATTTTAGAGTCTGATGATCTGGAAGCAGAGATGTTGGAAGAAACAGAAGAAAATAAAAAGCAACAGAGCAAGGAATTTCCCATTACTGTTAATGAAGTGTGGGTAAAAGAAAAAGAGGATAAGTAAGTTATTCTTTTGATCCCTCTCTCTTGAGTTCAAACAACTAATTTTAACTGAGAAGGATTTAGATACTTCGGTTACAATGTTAAGCTTAGCTAAAGCTTCATTGCTTGCCTACCATGTTAGTTTTACTGCTCTTAGTGGGTGAGGGTCTTGTCAGTAGACTAATGACTATTTTAAATGGTATTTTCCCTGGGTGTTGTATTTTATAATAGGGCACAACATGACAGAAGAAGTGAGGCAACTTCTGAGAAAGTAGCGCTTGACAAGATGCAACCACAAAAAGAAGCTCCAGAAGGTCAGTCAAAATCTCTTGTTTTGTAACTGGTGGTACAGAGCACTGGAGCCATCCCTTCTCACTTCTTCACTAGCCCTAAAAGAGCAGGCTTTATATTTTCATCTTCCTTTTTGGTTCATACTTCTATAAGACAGATTTCTGATAGATTAGGAAGATGAATTATGTGTGTTATATTTGCCACTTCCGAAGAAAATATGTAGCGACAAAGCTACATTGTGTATACACAGGGAAATAGCCCATGCTTTGATAGTTACAAGTGAATATCAGGTTTCTGAATGTTACAACCTTTTATAATGACTATTTGAAGTGTTACGAAATCTGGTGAAGTGCTGCTTTGCTTATAGACATGCCTAATGCTGAAATGCAGCTTGGATTTTTCAAAGATATTTTAAACAAGTGCTAGTAATGATTTTTTAATCTTTATTGCATAAAATTGCTTGCTCTTAGAGGTCCTTAAACTAATTACAGGGGATCTACATATTTTTATAGCAGAATAGAAAATATATCTGCAATACTTGGAATTATCATTGGTTATACTATTCCATCAATTTACTGGTGCATTAAGAAAACTGTACATTTTTTCCAGTGTCAGAGCACATTATATTGGGATAATTTTGAAGAAATCTAGTGTAAGGGAAGAAGCAACAGATGATAATGGATGAAGCCATAGTTTTAGGCACAGATTGGATAATGATAAACAAGAAGGCATGAGAATAGAATAGACAATAGCTGAGGGATGTATATTCTCAATGATAAATGGGAGAATGTCACATTATGATGCATTTACTAAAATAATCTAAACAGATTTTCATACTCATAGAGTGTGATCTATTTTCTCCTTTAAACATGCAACAGAAATTAGTTTTTCTCAGTTTAGTTACTTTTTGCTTAAAAGCTTGTGGTTTTAAATCAAGTTAAATTCGTATTCAACTTCTGTGTACCACATCAGAAACTTGTTCCAGTGACTCACTGCAGCCTGAACCATTATTCCAGAGGGTAATGCAGTCCCCAGCTGTACCAACAGCCTCACCGGTTCTGTCAGCTCAGTCTTCACAGGAAGAGCCTTTTGTGCCTCGTTCACGTTCCGTATCACCAGCAAAAAATAAAGGCAAAAGTTCATTGTTGATTGGACTTTCTACAGGGCTGTTTGATGCAAACAACCCAAAGGCAAGTAAAAAAAAAAAAAAAAGAATACCTTTATTTCTGTAGTAATGTTTGCTTTTCTGATTTTCTTATTGAGGCTTCACAAGGCTAGAGCAGATGGCATAACAGTTTAAGCAGATGTTTGTATTTGTCTAATCACAGTCTGCCATGCAACATGACTGCGTTGTGCTCATTATATGAGCCAGACTCACATAGCATTGTGAGTCTCTGGTTTCACTCTTCAGAATTCTTTGTCCAAAGTGTTTATGGAGGAATGCCACCACTTTTCTAATACAACTGAGACAGTTCTTGAGGAAAATTGCTAACCTATACCTTCTTTCTCCCCTTTGCGCAATTTTGCAAACTTAGTACTACTTTGCCATCACATACCTAAGTGCTGAACAGAGCAGCAAAGGCATTTCATCATTTCTGGCAACAGGGTTACGCAGTTTGTAAAATGAGCATTGGATGGTGGAATGTGATTATAAAATGAATTAAAAGTATTTTAATAATCGTTGTGGAACTACTAGATGAAACAGACTTCCAGGACTATGTGCAATACTTGCCAAGGTTCCGAAAGTGCCAAGTGTAAAATAGAAGAGGTGCTTTTTGCAGAAACATGGGTGACAGTTCTCTGGAAATTTCCACACCTGCATTGTGTTCAGTCAATACGAAGTAAAGGATCTTCCAGTTGTTGGAATGCCAGATAAATAAGAGCGCTGCTTTTGACTCACATTATTGTGAGTGCATGAACAGAAGTTCCACTACTTGATTAATCGAATATTGAAAAACACCTATTTGTTGATGAATTGCTGGGAATCGTATCAGGGACAGTGGTATTTGCATCTTTAGAAAAATAAAGTTTCTTGACAAGCTACAAAGAGATGATTTTCACAGATGTATATATTCACGTAAATGGGTTTATGACTCTTACTGTGATTCCTCAAGAGTTAGTCTGTCATTAAAATCCCTAGCTTATGAAACAGTATATCTGGCAGTTAGATAATACAGAAAAGTTAACTTCTCATTAGGTGCAGAATGAACAGTCTTTGTACCCTTATCAAACTTAGTAGTGGATATGCTTTATAATGAAGCTCTCCAGTGTATCATTATGACCCATCTTAGTATGTCATGTTACTGCATATTTGGCATGTGTTTTGGCCATAAGTGTTTGTCAGAATTGTTAATGCAGTACCAGATGAGCTCTACATAATAGCAGAGAATTTGGAGAAAAGCAGCAAATGTTTTTCTATTATTGCTGCAGTAGATTTGCCTAAAACAAAATAGAGTAATAAATTCCCTTTTCTCATTTGACTGCAACAAGAGGAAGTTCAGAACTTCTTTGCGATGACTGTAAATGTAACTTTTAGGAATTCCCCAACCTGCTGCAGGTCATCCTCAAATGCTAATAAAACCTTTAGCAGGGTGCAGAGCAGATAGCTTGCAGACCTGCCTACAGCTAGGACACTAACTCTAACTCTAACAGGGTAGGTTAATAGGAAAAGAGGCATTTTCAAAATACCTGGAAGCTTTCAAATGATGGGGCAAATTCAGTCTTCTAATTGTTCCTTCCCTTTGGCAGCTGTGGTCAAAAAGAGTGGTAACTCTTGTGATGTCAATAATATTCTGGCATGTGCTGACAGAGGTTTGATCTTAGATCATCTGTATTACTATTCTGAGTAGGTATAAATTGTGGCAGAGAACAGTGCTGAGGAAGTAATTTAGAGCTTTTTACTAGCAGCAAATACTGAACGTGGATGTATTCAGAGCTATAGTGAAGGAAGGTGAAGCTTATTGGCAAAACTTCTTAGTGCAGATTAGATCTAGGTTCTTTTTATTACAGTGGTGAATATTTAGTATTCTTTTGGGGTTCTTACACTTCTTAATAGAGATGGGTAGATCAATGAGCAAACAAGGTGCCTTTGTTTCAATGTTGCTTTGAACATATTTCCCCTGCAACAAATTAGTGTTCTAAACTTGCTTCTTAATACTATGGAACTGCCTTGAAATATGCCACAAAAAAAAAGTCTGTTTTCAGTGACAAACCTTGAGAAATATTAACTGTATTTTTAAAAAATACTCCTTTTGTCAGCTACTCATAATGATTCTAAGCAGTGTTTTAAGTGGTTGCTTACAACTTAAATATGCTAATTGCATATATATTATCTACTACCGCGTTCCTTTTCTTTAAACAGTCTTCAAGATAATGAAAAAATTTGCAGAAAAACAGAATCTATATGTCAGTTTATGTTCCTTAAACCTTTCAGTCACTGTAACCTGTAAAGGTAGAAGGAATAATTTCCATTTAGCTGACAGGCAGAATTCAAGATGTCAAGCTTTCAATGGGTACAAGCATCTGTGCTGGACACATCTTTATTTTTAAATTGACTCTGATTTTTCATCCTTTTTCATTTCAGATTTTAAAGCAACTTGTAACCTCAGACTGTTTTTTTTTGTTTGTTTGTTTTATGGTAACTAAACATGATGCTTTCTTTTACCTTTGCAGATGTTGAGAACATGTTCGCTTCCAGATCTTTACAAACTGTACAGAACGTTAGTTGATGTTCCCAGTGTAGCTGATGTACAGCATCAACATAATCTCGAAATAGATGATACAGAAGATGAACAAGCCAAAGAAGGACCCTCTGATTCTGAGGATAAGTGAGTGTAATATGATTATCAAGTATTTCAAGAAGCACCTTGTATCAAGTATATTTTGGTTAGACATCATTATACACTACAGACCAGAATGGAATTTTAAGCCAAATCTGAAAAATCCTGTATTGCAACTTTATTTTGAATCACCATTCACTCTCAGTTTTGTTCAGAGAACTGTGAAGCTAATGGTTTGTCCTGTTAATTCTTGGTTTTCCTGCTTCTTCCTTCATTCCCCTGAAAATGATCAAAGCTGATGGCTACCACTCTAATAGAAATCAGTAATTTCTTTAATCTATTTAAAGAATATCTATCTATTATAATCTATAATTTTTATGTTCTGGGAATCTCTGCTTATCTCTTGTTCTTGCTGTTGTATTAGGATGTCCTTAAATTCCCCCCAAATTCTTCCAGAGGCCTCAAAATCTGACCCTAGGGTCTTGACTATTACTTGATGCTTGGATAGTTTGCAGAGATTAAAATCATCTGGTCTATCTTTTCTGAAGAGGTATAGATCTATTTTTGCTCCAGACATCTTAATCTCTGTTCTAGTTCTCATTTCTTTGGAGCATTTCCTTATAGTGTGTAAATATTGGTTCACATCCAGGTGCTCTAAAACCAAGCTGTTATTTGTCCTTTGTTTCCTCATCCTAATTTTTCTTCATTTGTTCAATGCGACGTAGAAACAAGACAATACCATTATCTTTCCTGTTGCTACAAATTAAGCTTATGTGTCCTTATATCCAAACCATGCCTTTTCAGTTGTGTTTTTAAGTGTAACACTTAGTGGAATATTTGGCTACTTCTGTTCAAGGGATTACCAGTTACAATCAGTTTCATGCCGTTTTAGAACTGGATACTTGAAACTTATTAAGGCTAGGGGTTATGATATATAACTTGTACCTATGTATCAGTAGTGTTACCACAAAAATTACTTTTGTTTTGACCATATAATCCTCATTTGCATTCCTGTGCTACTCCTTTGCTACTCTGTTAGACTGAGGACATAAAGACCTACAGGAAGTGCTGATTTCCTTCATTAGGCTACTGCCCATAAGAAAACAATTAGCCTTGTATATGCAAATGCATGTCTTTTTTTTTTTTTTCTACGCTGGCTTTCCAGTTTGTTGGTTTAACAGAAGAAAACTCTTGCTACAGAGTTTGTGGGGTAAAGTATTACTGATGTAATCTTTGTCACTTTCTTCTAGCATGTCTGGGGAGGCAGATACAGATCTGCAGGAACTCCGGGCCTCAATGGAGCAATTACTTAGGGAGCAGCCTAGTGAGGAATTAAGTGAAGAGGAAGAGTCTACTTTAAAGGCCAATGTCATCCAATGCATAACAAATGGTACAGAGCTGGATGAAGGAGATGAAAATAACCCCAGCAGCGAAAGTGCACTTAATGAAGAATGGCAGTCAGGTATAATTTCTGTAATACCTGCTGTATAAGCTATTTATTGATACTAACAAGACAAACACAGATGATGTTTTTTTGGATTTTTATACTTATAATCAAGTAAAGCTCTAATTAATAGCTTTTATACAGGAGTTTAAAAAAAACAGTCGATGTATAGATATTTCTGAATGTTAAGGTCAACATCTAACCAAGGTTCATGCTGCAGATTAAATGGTGAGTCTTTGTTAGGCTCTGATCATAAATCATTTTTTCACTACTTGCCTAAAACTTGTCTTCAATGAAGATCAAAGACTTTCTGCACATCCTGTTTTTTGAATAATTCATGACTGCAATGTAAGAGTGAAAAAGAAAGAGCAACTGACATGACTGGATTATCTGGGATCCAGTTTACAATTAAGTAATTTAACAGGGAGTCAAAAAGAACATGAAATTATTAACCTTGTCCTCAGCCTGAAATAGCTATTAATGCAATTAAACTAAAGAGAGAAAACCTTATCACTGCTTGTAGGGGTCTGCATTAGCGATACACAATGGCGTACTGAAATTCCTGTTCTGTTTTTTAAATTCTGGTTGAAGTTTAAGTATTTTAGTACTGCTTTAAAATAAGGTCCATTTAGAAATACAGGTATAAAAAGAGGTATAAAGCCAATAATTAATCTAAGCCATAGCTTGTGTCATTTTGGTTTATTAACAACAATATTCAAACAGAAAATCTATGAATATTCCTGTAAGATATTACTTATATAATACATTTTAGGAAGTACTTCAAAATAAAATAAACTTAGTTAATACCATTTTCCTTCATTTTTGAGAATGTTGATATTATACAGTGGTAAAATACAATGCCGTCTGTTTTGTGGTGGTGGTTGTTGTCACAGGTGTTATTAACGGTACTTGGTGTCAGTGTCCCAACTTCTAGATTCATGATATTTCACAAGAATTGCAGGCTTCTTTATTGAGGGGGAAAGAACTTCAAGGGACCAGACAGACCTTGAAATCAACTCCAGTCAAGATCCTTAAGTTAAATACAGTATTAGAAATCGGTTAATGGGTTTTGAACTCATACACAAATTTTCCTTTTTGTTTCAATAATAATTTGTTATTGATGTGATTATTCATACTTGAATTAGGGATACAATTTGTCAGGATTATCGTTTTCTCTAGTCACAATCAGGAATTTAAAGTGGTAGCTTTAACTGAGCTAAGAAGTCTGTGACCTGCCAGGTAATACTGTGTTAATAGTTTGTTTGTTGGGTTTGTTATTTTTAGTAAAGATTTGATAATGTAAGCTCCAATATCTAAAAAGTTGCCTTTTTACTCCTATGTAGATATATTCTGTCATAACTTAAGTGTTTATTGAGGACATATTTTTCTTGGGCAAAAGCAGTTTGCATTTTATAACATATTTGCTAATAGGATTCTGTATAGGGATTCTACCTTGTGTCTTTAAGTAGATCTCATTTTCTTAAACTTACCTGGTATTTGACTCCTATAAACCTATTTGAAAGCATTACTTTCTTTCTGTAGTGCGTACACAAAATCGTCTTGATTTTTCTCTCACATCTTACCGCACAAATTGGCATACTGAATTTGCTACACAAAGGAGATGCTCTCATTCATAGACAAATGAAGAAAGAACTTCGTAGCTAAATTAATGCTGTGCTTTCTAGACTTGCTTCATTGAACGAGATGTACATCAGTGCAGAAATTAAATAACTGATTCTTAATACACACACCCGTATTTTCTGGTAGAAGACATCTGCTTTCTTAAGGAGCTCCTAGAGTGGGACAGAACAGCCACTGAACCATACCTACATCAGTTCCACCCCAAAAATGGTTATATGGAATGGTTATATGGAATTTCAACATTGTTTTGGTAAATAAAAACCTGCTTTGAGGCCACTACCTTGTTTCATTCAGTATGAATACCCTTATGACTAACCACCTGTTGTGGTTTAACCCCAGTAGGCAGCTCAGCACCACAGAGCTTCTCAGTCACTACCCCTCCCGTGCGGAGGACGGGGGTGAGAATTGGAAAGGTAAAAGTGCAAGAACCCATGGCTTGAGATACAAGACATCTTGCTATGTAAAGCAAAAGCTCCACTCACCATACCAGCTACAACGAAAAAAATTAACTCTATCCCAGTCAAAACCAGGACACCGCCAGTGGAGTTTTAGAGGAGCTGGCTAGATGCTTCCCACTTGGGATTCAGTATTTATTGGCTGTCAAGACATTGAGTGTCCCAGTTTCATTGGATTTTTTTCAGAACATCTGCCCTCCGTCATTTAGTGCTCCTGAGCTTAGCAGCTTTATTAGATTTAGTGGTTGTGTGGATGTCCAAGTTAAACAACAACATGAAGACTGAAGGAAAATTGAATTTACTGGTGCTGGTGGTCTTTTTAACTGCCTTTCTTTTTTTCTTTCTTTACAGATAATAGTGATGGAGAAATTGCCAGTGAATGTGAAGAATGTGATAGTGTATTCAGCCATTTGGAAGAGCTGAGATATAACCTGGAGCAGGAAATAGGCTTTGAGAAATTCATTGAAGTTTATGATAAAATAAAGGTTTGTGGAATAAGCTGACGTGGAAAATGGTTTAGGAGACAAGATAAATGTATCTAGAGCTGTGCCAGTAACTAATTGCACTGTGTGACTAAAATTAATGCTTATTTCTTTTAGTCTTTTATTCTGTTTCAACATTCTAAAATATTAACATAGAAAATTCCATGCTTGTGGATTAAAGAGGAAAGCTTTGGATTTAACAATAGACTGCATTTACTAAGTTTGAACTATTTAATTGTAAACCCATTTTAAGCTTGACCCTATGTTTCTCCCAGGCTATACATGAAGATGAAGATGAAAATATTGATACATGTTCGACCATAGTTCAAACTATTTTGGGAAATGAACACAAACACCTGTATGCCAAAATACTTCACCTAGTCATGGCAGATGGAGCCTACCAGGAAGGTAATCTCACTGTATCTTGGCCACTATGGGTTGTCTTATGTTTGTTCTTGGTTATGTACAAAGGTTATAATATACTTTTAAAACATGTACCTGCTTTGTTATACTGATCAGCTGAGTTGATTTCAAAAAAATAAATATCCACAAAACACATTTTATTTCTGCAACAAAATGCAATGCAAACTTTGATCAAGCGTGCTGACTACTCTGATTTAACATTATGTTAATGTACAGTAAACTGCACTAATAGATGACTTGTGGGAGTATAATTATTTAATTTCTGTAGAACAGTTAAGCAGGTTGGGCAGATGCAAGTCTAGAATAAAATTTTCAGAATTAAAAATGGTTTTGTTTAGGAATTAATGAGTTCTTAGCTAAAATATTTTTCTTACCAAAGCTACTTCTAATGAGTTTCAGTGTTGAACCAGGATCAATAATTTTCAGAAAAGAAAACTTCACTTGATGTTTTATTCTATAATTGTAATTTTCCAGAAGAAATTGGTGTGGAGATATGATCCATCTTAGTTTTCAAGTGGCTCAGTAATGCATGAAGAGAATTTATCTTTGCTAGGAGCCTCGCTAGGTTAGAACAGATTGCATCTTTTAATTTCTCTTACAAGTATGTTGCAATATCAAGTGAATAAAGGTTCAAATAATTATAGCTTCCTTAGGTTTTTATATAGAAATGCTTAGGGAAAAAAAGTCTTAAAAACTAATTTTAAAAACACAATCATTAAAACCATATATATTTCTAGAATAAATTACTGTTTATATATTCCCAGCTTTTCTTTGCTACTGATACAGAACTGTTCAGTCAGAATAACCAGTACCATGTTGTTTTACTCCAGCATTATAGAAGAATGACAGAAAATGGTCTGGAAAATATATTTTTCAGACACAATTGCTTATTTCACTGTAAGGATAAATTGTAGTAAGTTTTTTTAATCAACCATCCAGAGGACTGGCAATAGAGAACAGGAAGAAAACAGTAACTAGAGTGTTACCAATTTCTTTTCCTTGGCATTTTGCCCTTTAAGGATATTTTAAAGGTAGTACTAAAAGGCTTAAGTGACAATTTTCTGAAAATGTTGGCATATAAATTGTAAGCTGTGGTCTGAGTGAATCCTATTAAAATGAGCTGACTTTCATCTTGTGAAATGTTGATTAATAAGCAGTTATTTTTAAGAGCTTTGGTTCTAATTGTGTATTTTACACATCTGTAATAGCATATGAAAATGTAAAGAAAAAGTAATTCTACACTTCAGTTATTTAAAGAAAATAACTATGCTAATAAAGGTGAATAGAGGACAAGTGACAGAAGCATGTTCGGGAGCTTCTATCTCAGAAGTTTTATACTCTTCAAGTTCTTTTACACATTTTTTTTCTAATTTGTTTTGTAACTCCGGGTTGTGTGTTGTTTTTTTTTTTTGTTTGTTTGTTTTTCCCTGTTTTTCTCTTCTGTGTCCTTTTTACCCTGTCTTTTCCCTGTCTTGTGATTTTTGCAGATAATGATGAATAAATCTGACTCAGGAATTCCCTTAGTGCTCTCTTACATGTCAGTGTTTTGAAGTCTGCACAGCGGAATAACAAACAGTAGCAGAAAATGTAACATGGGGCAGGAGAAAGAAGAACTGAAAAAAAGAATGGTGACTGTATGAAACAGAGGAAAAACATGCCTTTTAAACTGAGATATTTATACACTTCTCTTGTGTGTACTTGCATATGTGTTCATTGCTCAGAATTTAAAAATCATTACACTATAATCTCACAAATTCAAAAAGAAATACGGAGATGAATAAATATAGATGTTCTGATACAAAACTGAGACTTAGAATGTAAACCAGAGTTTTTGCCATATCAACAGTTGGCTGGTAGGGTTAAACAATTGGAAGAATTACTGGGCTCTGGAAGTACCAGGTCTAGCTGTTAACTTACATAGTTATAGTAGCCCTTCTTTACACATACATAAAGAAATCATTCATTTTTATTGACCCTTGTGGTTGTATTTTAGTAACATCTTAATCTACCGGTCCAATTTGAGTACTTTGCTTTTATCTTAATAAAATGTATTTTGAAGGCATCTGTCACTTTTTAACCAGTGTCATCTGAAATATCTTAATGGTGTTTCTAAATCAAGGCAGACTGGTATTTCAGTCACTGAAGTGCTTGGATTTTTTTATTTTTTTGAGACTGTAAAATTAATTTGGAGCTAGAAGACTTTTCTGGTATTTTTCTTCTTCCTCAAAACCCCAGCTATTTAGTTCATTAAATTTTGCAATCAGGTCAGTGATATCAGAGCACAGTGTTGAAAGGGGTGGTTTTTCTCCTGTTTGTTTTTAAATTCTTACTGTCACTCTTACTTTCATGGCCCCTTCAGCCAGGGGTGGTGGTACAAAATATTACAGGCACAAATGCTATGTAATACTTGTCATCTTTTGGCTCACGTTTCATAGCTCGATGTCTACCACCCCTGAAATTATGAAAATGAAAATAATTCTGACCCACATTTCCTTGTTTCTCCTGTCAACGCAGTACTGTACAGGGCCAACACTACGTGTGTTGTTGTTTTCAAATTATTTGCGGAAAAGCTTCATTGGCTTATCCATACAACAAGTCGCCTGTTACAAATCAGATGAACTGTCAAACTTCCAACTGCCCTATTGAAGAAAAAAATTATATTTTTTTCAGCTGCTGTAAAATACACCAGTCACAATCTAAAACTGTCAACTTTTCCACAAAGAGCAATCAAGTATATACATTATTTAGAACTGTTAAAATATGTACATGTTTTTTGTATAATTGTTTTATGGTGTTATGATTATTAAAGTTTTGCCCACTGAAAAATTTTGTTTTTTTTTAAATGTGTCCAATTCTTGAATGTAGACAAGATTCTTCTATTTCAGCTGTATCATGGGAACCTACAATGAGAACTTCGAAAATACTTAATTACCTTTAACGTATAGTTGTTTTTTTTTATATATATATAAGCAGCTGTTGCTTTGTCTGATGAGAAACATGATAATTGCTGGAAACAGCGCTGGTTCTGTCCTATATTATTTGTCTTCTTTTTCCTTCCCTTCCCCCCCCCTTTTTTCGTTTGTCTTTGAATAGATTATCCAGAGTGCAGTAATCCTCAGGAGCCACTTATTATAGTGACATTTAGCAAATACACTCTTTAGATTTTATAAAGAATGCATTATTTTCCTTTTTCTGTTTTGCTTCACCTTTTGGGGGAGGGAAGACCAAACCCCTTAAATTTCAAAGAATACAGATTAGCCTTTTAGAAGTGTGGTATATTTCATTATGCTTCTGCTCTACAGTTGTGAATTCTCTCAAAGAAATACAATCTTATTGAAGGTAAGGGTTGGAGTTTGTTTTAATTCCCTTTAAATGTAAATCACATTATTGTTGACATTTTTTATGCAGACTGCTGGCTTGCTTTTGGTAAGAAATACGGACATAATCTGCAGACTTCAAGCTTCATAGACATAGAGCTTTTTATCAATTAATGATTTGAAAAATATGCATAGATTGTGCACAGCTTTTCAAGGAGAATAATCTTCAAACCTGCCAACCAATACTGAATATCCTTGAAAATCCCCCAAGACCTAATTTTCAATTGACGCAGTAAATAAGTTTGTCTGCCAAAGTAATGCTTTTAGCTGAAATTTTAAAGCCCTGTTTAACACATTGTAACAGCTTTGCCTGGAAAGCTGCAAGGTGAGCTGGTGCTTGATGGTGATGAGGTCCTGAAGTTGGTAGAGGGTAAAATCAGAATCAGTGTGGAAACAATCTTACATCTAGATCCTAGAATTGACAAGTATTTCCTGGTACAATGCCATCTTCTGAAGCCTCTACATATAAACAAAGAACTTCAGTGGTTTAAAATAAACCCAGTGCTGTTCACAAACTACTTACTGACAAACCAAACATACAGAGAAATGAGCAGAAAGAGGCCACTCAGGTAGGTAGAACCCTACAGATAGAGCACACCTTCACCAGTTGCATCCAACATGAAATCCTTGCAAGCAGTTTCTTGGGACAAGAGAACAGCACAGTATGCCCAGCTTCCCCTAATGACTCAATGGAATTTTGAATAAAACAAAATGTGCCGTTTTTAGCCCAGTTATGATCTTGTGTGTGCTTGGATATGGTGCCAATCTCCCCCTCAGACAGAGAGCCATGTGTGCCCCCGCCTCCATTTCTGACGCTTTTCTCCACTAAAAGCACCTCATCAACTCTCAAATGAAACCAGGCTCTAATTAATTTTGCTAGCAGCGATAAACCAAAGACAAACATAGAAATTTGATTTTCAATCCTTTTAAACTTCTTCCCACTCAAGGAATTGTGTGCTTTCTCAGTTTTCATTTTAACTTGTTTATTCATGAGCTGTGTAGAGTAAGATTTAGCATAAAATACAATCTGGTTGTTACCATTTCTAGAACACTTGTTTTTGCCATTTTTATCATAGCAGTTGAGCTGAAGCAATTTGCAGAATGTAAATACTGTTTTTTAAATCCATAAAGAGCTTCTTCCTTTAAATTAAATTTGTGTGTTAATGCAATACGCACTTCAAATGCCTTGCCAAGTTGATATATTTTCCAGTTGAGCTGATGAGTTCATCAGTTCAAATAGTATCAATTTGAACGCTTGGCTTGTGCAAGAGTCTTAAAAACACTTCTTCAGCAACTAAAACCTTAATTGAATTGCTTCCATAAAGACAAATTAATTTGTAGTTACTTGTGATACACATATATAGGAGTTTGGCTGCTGCTGCTAAATTGTTTGCCTTCAGCACCTGTGATCTGGTGCACTCTTCCAGGTTTTATTTCCAGGACAGTTTTAAATCAAGATGTGATTTAGCTAATTTCATTAACTTAATTTGTAACTATGTAGTTTTAAAACTTACAGAACCAAGGCTCAAAGAGATTTTTTTCACCTTAGCTGCCCAACAGCCCCAGCCAGGCGGATTGCACAGTGGGAAGACTCCTGCGAGGCAGCGTTTGCTAAGCCCCAGGCTGGCGGTGACAGTTGTTTCACAAGTCACCCCTGAGGTGGGACTGAATCAAATGTGAGGCTGGGGTGTTGCATGACTCACTTTTGCTTGGCTGATGGATGTTCCCTTAGGGACTGTTGTCAGCTAGGAGAAAATAAAGCTTGGTTTTAAATAGCATTGTGGCTCGAGCTGATGCAGATGTGCACTGAGTATAATGGCATGATAATCAGGTCCTTGACATACCCTATTTTTTGCTGTATCCTGCAGACAGCCCTAACAGTAATCTCTTCTCTAGGGGAAGGGATGAAGCATGCATTTTTGCTGTTTCCTGAATATAGAATAGAACTTCTCCTGATTCGAATTTTAGGCAAAGATTCTGCAGTTCTAGCTCTCTTGGTAAAATTTTAAATCTCCAGCAGTACTTCAGGGGTGCTATTTTTTCCTTCTATCAGTTTTCCCATCAGCAGTCAACAGTTCTCATTGCTGGTTGTTTTACTGCTGCTAGAACTATTTTAAATTTTATCAGAGTAGCTTTTAAAAAGTGAGGTACAGAGCCGCCTTCTGAATAACTGATTGACTTCACGGGGATATAGAAAAGACAGAAAACTTGACATATTAATAATTAGCAACAGCTCTCTCTATTGTAGGGCTATATCCTAACATGATCGTTGCTGAAGTCAGACAGTTTCCTTTTTATAAACTGCTCTAGCTGTCATAGTTTCTCTAAACTCTGTATTAAGCTGTAACAACTCTTGATAAAGCTGTCTAAAAGATGATAATAAAATGCAACTGATTTGCCATTATTGTAGCACACCTAGTTGATCCTTTCCTGCTGACATTAGTTTTGAGAATTTAAATTGTAGTTTGGAGTATTTTAACCTTGTTCTTCAAACTTTCTAAGGGAAGATAAAAAAAGTGAAGATTACCATAGCATTTGAGCTTCTTTATAGCATAGGTCTGGACTTAGACCGGCCATAGTTTTATTCCTTTTCAATTGTAAGAAATGTTAGTATTTTCTAGTGTTTTGTGCTTAAAAGACTTAAAGCATTAGAAAAGCACAGGCCTTCTAAATACTAGTAAACATTCATGAAAAATTCTTTCCACGGCAGTCTCTAATGCAATTCTTAGCTATTACTAAAGCAGTATTTTTTTCAGCTGTTGAAAAGCCTGATTGCACTGCACAGTATCCTCTTCTGGGGACTTCAGTCCGTCAGTGACCACAGTGCCCTGAATAACTTAACTCACTGTATTCACTTAATTCCCCGGAGTGCTTCCTTTTCTCAGATGACCGCTGTTGCTTTCTCTACATTGGGCAATCTTGTTTGTCCAGGAAGAGGCTCCAGCAAATTCTGACTTTAACAGACATCGGGGTTAAGTGTTGCCAGCTGGGAAAGAGAACACAGTTCAAGCCCGGCCTACAGCATTTGTTAACCATGCAGTGATACTGCATTAACTGGTCTGCTCAGATGGGTAACGGACTCGTTTTCCACCACCAGTGCCAGTATCTGGCCCCACATACTGCTGTGGAGCACGGATGAGCACTGTGATGTGCTCATCCCCCTTCACCCCCTTCTCCCAGCAAAACTTCAAGCAAGCTTAAGAGATTAGCAACTAAGTTCTGCCAAATCTCACTGTGATCTGTTCAGATGCTACTGCTCTCAGCTGCCTCTTCTTTTCCTTTGCTGATGATTATAAGGACTGGAAAAATGAAATATGCCCACCCTCACACTTAGGCACAGAGCACTTCATCTTTGATTAAATTAACAAGAAACCAGGTTTGGGACAAGTCACTAGACTGAGCTGCGGTTGGCAAGGATCTGAGCACATCTTCCATTCTGCTTTTTGTGCCACAGTAAAAGTAATCTCCACCAGAAGGATGGGGCACAACAGATGGAAGCATGACTTAAACCACTTTGTAATGGTTCCTGAAGCTCATCGGTCAAGGGTGGTGGGAGACTGTAAGAGAAAATTATGTATGAACCCAAAGTGAAACAGGCTTACTGAGGAGCACAAGGTGCATAGTGTAGAATATTCCTCTTGCATGAATCCAGTCTTCATAGACTTAATAAACACTGGTTTTGTTTTCACTTGCTGGCAAAACTCTCATATTTTTTTTGCAGCCATTAAAGTTGTGAGAAATACGTAGTTCTTCTGATTAGTGGGACTGACAGTTTAAAAATTTAGGAATTGAAAAACTGCTTGTTCTGTCACATGGCAAAGCACTGGGGCTTGTTAGGGGAGTCACATAGTCTAAAACATATCAGATCTTTTCCTATAGCTGCTGCCTTTAACTCAGCTACAGAGCTGTCTTTGGTACCTCATCTCAGGCATTTTCAGCTTAAATGGAGAAGCCTGACACACTAAGCCTGTAGGACGTGGGGTGTTCCTCCCCTCCCAGCCCCTCCTTTCTGCATTTCTGTCTTACTGGTGTGTGACAAATAAGCTGCTCACTTGCAATTACACTGACCTTCATGGAAACTGCAGGTACCTCATATCTGGAATCCAAACCCTGATGCTTTTTGATCCTTAGGGAACTAACTGCATTTCATTGCCATAGGATAACAAAGAGGTCAGAAGGTTTTGTGATCCTTGGACAGAAAACTATGTAGAATAATAAAATGAACTGGAAAAAAAAAAATGAGCTGAAAGCACCTGGGAGTTTTTTGTATATACTGGGCAATATAGTCACTTTCTGTGACTGAAAGTTTACTGTTACCAAGGCCTAGAATTAGTCCAATAAAACAGCAGGGAAGCCTTCTCTGTGTTTCTTGCCTACATTTCTCCCTAACATTTTTATATTCACTCGCTCCCCCTCCTAATGGAAGCTGGGAGAAAAGTGCCGAGCACAGCACTAATGACATGAAAAAAACACACTGAAGGAAGCAGCAGGGAGGCCAAGGTTTCAACCACTCTCCCTCCCTTACCCAGGAAAATTTCAGTGACCTCTTGACACCTCCCATGGGAATCTTTAAATTGACAACAGTATTTGCCAAGTAAATACAAAAAATGGCATTAAAACAGTATTGTTTCTGACTTAATCCTCCTAAAGTCAATGGAAGAGAGTTAAAGTTCCCGCAGCAGTTGTAATGCACTAAGCTCATTCTGCATGGCAGTGGATTTGGATACATATCAGGACTGGTTAATAAACACGCTTCCATGCGTTCAGAAGGAGAATTTAATTGGGAAAGTGAAAAAAAAAATCCAAAATTTTAGTTAAACTTCATTCCTGGGTTATTGTCTAGGAAAGCTGGCATTTTGGCTGAACAACCATGTGTCATGACACATGGTAACACTATAACACTATCTAAAGTCAAAGCCCTGCTGTCCTATGAAAACAAAAGTTTTTATAAGACAGCAGTCCTAAAAACAAAGTTCCCAGTTACTTATACCCTGGTTGTTTATTCTGCCATGTTTTTGCTGAGGTAAGTTACTCCTGAATGATTGTCGGGACTCTTGGAGAATATCCTGGTTTAACTATCTGCCAGTTGCCAGTTTTTCTTATAAAATCTGACGATCAGAAATGGAGGGATATTATGGAATACCCAGCATCTCCAGCTTCTCTGAACCATGTCTCCTGACACCTAGAGACCACTTCTGCAATAGTTTCTGGTCATTACTCACCCTGGTCCTGCTCTCCAAGGGTATTCCAGGAGACAGGTCACTAAACTGGAGATCTGTGGTTTAGTCCTGGGAATTGTCCCTTTGCTTCCTCCCCAGCAAATCATGTAATTTATCCTGCAGAAATAATCACCTCTATGCCACTCACTACCTCCCCTCATTTGTCTTGCCTGCTCTTCTCTTTCCAGTCTTTGTCATCATCAGGTGCAGTCTTCAACATATGAGGGAACTCTGCCTTCATGCTCCACATCACTGTCCTGTAAAAAAGGAACAGCACAATAAATATCAGAAATGAGAATGCGTCCAGAATGCAATACCAGAAAAATGTTCACAGCCTAGTGGGAACTAGCACACAGGAAAACACCTCGTGCAGACCATTTGCTGACAGCCATTTTGACCACAGCTGCCTTAGCTATATTTAAGGACTGCGACATGGATTAAAAATACATCCTTTGTTTACAGGGTAGGTGTGACCTTCAAGAAGAATGGCGCTAGAGCTGCATTAGCCATTTGGAGAGATGCTTGCTAACAGGTTTCTGGCACACGTACCCGTTGTTGTGCCCCATTCACATCCATATGCAGAGAGTTGCTGTGTGCGCCTTCTGGGACGTGTGGGAAAATAATGCTCGAAAATGAGTTTTACTGTAGCTCGTATAAAGTGTATATTCAAGCAGTATTTAAGGGCTGATTCTTAGCTCCAGGGATGGAATCCAGCTGCCTGTTTTCTTTGGCCCTGAGAGTCAGTTTGATATGATTTACATTTTCAGAGCTGGCTTCGCAAAGAAAGAGCTAGAGGGTTGGTTTTGAGGGATTTTTTTTTTTATTTTTTTTAGTGAGTAAATATTTTACAGACCAAATTCCTAGTTCTACAAAATCAGCGACTGTAGGCTGTGGGACAGTATAAGTAAGCACAAAGGCTGGAATTTATTGCTAGTAATGATCTATGAGATAAGATTTTCAACTAAGCCAGTGCAGAGAGGTCCATTGCCAGATGTGTGGGAGTGAAAGTGACACAAATCTACAAAAAAAAAAAATCTTTGGCAATCCCAAAGTGATTATATAGCCCTGTAGCGCCAGAAGCCTCAGAGAATTCATTTTGTGTCTCAATGTCTTCATCAACTTAAAAGCCAAGTCCCAAGCTTTATAAAAGAAATCCAAAGTACTGCCATGAATACTCCATAAATTTATCTCACTTTCTTAATCTTATTATAAACAAGGTTTTTTTTTGTTTGTTTGTTTTTTGTTTGTTGGTTTTTTTTTTGTTCTTGATTCCCCCCTTTGTAAAGAACTGTGGTAGCAGAATGACAGCGACTCTGCAGAAAATCAGTGGGGAACTTGTCCCTTTATTACTTTTATTAGTACTTTCATCCCAGTGTAATCCAAACTTTTCCAGTGCTCCATACAGGAAGCTTTTCCCTGAGAGTCAGGCTGCATTGGAAATCCCTGCTCTTTGCTTCTAACACATCACAGACAAAAATAATGTACATGGATGGTACACTGAATGCATCCAAACCTCTGTTGTATATCCTTCCTGAAGTGTACCAGAAACTGCAGATATCTGAAGCTGCGAAAAGAGCTTCTGCACCTTTTAGACCATACAGGTATAACTTGTTCTGCTTTCTTTGCATCTGACAGTACATTCCAGAAAAGGATGCTTCAGTCAAAAAAAATTTGCTTTACCTTGGGGTAAGGCAAATTACTATGTACTATGCCTTCCCTAGTTTTCAATAAGTGTTAGTGCATTTTAAATTGTTAGTGCATAGTACATTTTAAATTGCATGTTTTATATCCTCATAAACAAACTCTTACAAAACCCATTGCATCACTTATAGTTTTGATATCACGGCAGAACTATGTAAGTGTGGCAGAGAAGTTTGAAAAGTAAACATGCTGATAAGTCTACTTGCTTGTCAGATAGCTCTGCCCAGCAAGCACTTTTATTAGGAAAATGCTATTTTAAGGAAGTAAATCTTTTTGAATAAACTAGCTGAGCATGCTTTTAAGAACTAGCATTACAGCTCTATCAGATTTTTTTTTTTTTTTTGGCAAGCTACCAAACTATTGCAGCACTGAAAATTCTAAAATGGCTTAATTTAGAATTCGAACAAGCTACAAAACCCAAGAGTTTCATAAAGAAAGATATCACGTATCTATCCTGGATCATCTTACAAGCCCCTGCTCCTAAGCCTGGCAGTATGGCACAGCTACACCAAGGCTCTGTTCTGGGACAAAATCCAAACTGACCAAATTTCACTGCAGAGAAGAGCTAGGTGAAGGGAGTGTGGTGCTTTTCAACAGATGTCCTGATTTGGACAGTAGGAGGAACTGCAGGACTCAGCATAAAAACATACAAACATTTCAGATATAGCCTTGCTGTTGCTATATAATTCTTATGCTTTAATGACAGGTGTCATTAGATGTGCTTTAACGACAAAAGCACAGCTGTTTTTATGAGTTACATCTCTGTAAATGCACTGAAGCCTTGCAGTAACTGAATTAGACACCTTGAACTTGGTGTTTGTCAAAACCTAAAGAAATGTCTGAGTTTTCATATGTTGTTGTGCAGTTGCTCAAACACGTTATTTGGCACGAGAATAGAAATAATATTTCTAAATCACCTTTTAAAGAGTCTGTGGGATTCTCAGTCCTCTTAAGTGGACTTGAAAACTTCTCATCTAGGAAGACCGAGGGGATGCTGACTAGCATGTTCTGAAGGTAGGTTTGGTGTGAAAATGTGAAGACAGTCAGAGGTTCCAGCCTGCTGCTTTTCAGAGGACACTTTATTGAGGGTAGGTCACTGAGGCTTTGGCCAGGGACGTCTGCTCTATGAGGGTTAATTTTACCCCATCAGATAAAACAGCACAGTGCTGTGAATCCTTTCCAGTTCATGGAACTTATTGACACTCTTTGACTCACAGGATTTTAGAGAGACAGTGGAGCTTTTCCAGAAATATAAAATACAATAAAACACAGAATTTAGAAACCATAGACCTGATGGAACAGATACAGCCTTCTCCCATTGCCCACGACAAACCCTCCTCTGTACAGTCCACAGGCAAAAGTGCCTCTGACTCTTCTCACCAATTCCAGCTCCTCCTGTCTAATATCCAATTTATCACTCAAGTCATTCACATGCCAAGCATCCAGTTTCCAGACGTTCAGCTTCTTTCAGATGCTATAGTAATGCTGTAATAAGGTGTGGTAATGGAGACTAAGTAAACTTCCATGAACATTGAATATCCTTTATCATATTATGTTTTTACCTATTTAGAAAGAAAAAAACAAAACAACAACAACAAAAAAAACACTTTAGGTCCGGCAACTCATCTAATCTGTTTGTGCTTTGAATGCTCAAAATATTTGTCACAATGTTCCTCAAAGGTAAAACTGGAGTTTACTCACTCCAACATGTTATTACTTGAGGTGTTTGATTATAGTTCTGCTTGATCTCAGTCTAGAGTCAGTAACACACAAGAATTCTACTTAAACATTTATATGGTTGTCAGTTTACTCATCTATCTGAAACATGGGTGTCAGCTCATCGAGAAGTTTTAGCCTGTGACTCGTATGCAAATGGGGCATTACTAGGTTTTTAATAGCTTAAAATTTGCTAACAATCTAGCAAACTACTAAAACAGCATGCAAGTGTTCCAGAAAGTTTAGGTCAGTCAGTAATTCTTCAACTGCATCCTGATTCATGTATGAATCTTCGGGAGAGCAGATCTGAATCAGACTGGGAGATACCTAGGAAAGGGCTGAGCAGAGAATCTGGCATGCTCTGTCCTCACAGGAATTTCTCCTGCAGATGCAGCAGTGGATGCTGCAGCTAGGCTATGCAGATCATAAACCCATAAGCCCAGTAGGTATCTTCCAATGACTAAACTGGGGAAAATGCTGTGAGATAACAGAGCTCACCTGAACACTGAGAACCTGTAATACGCTTATTCTTTAATGTCACATCCACTTTTTCTTTTGTATATTCCCTCGTTGTGACTTAAAAGTAATGGTAAAAGCATCAAATAGCAAATATGTGCAAAGGTAAGATCCCAGCTTCACTTTGTCACAGAGAGCTAACACAATTCGTACACAAAGGACATCAGGCTCAAGGAAACAGGAAACTAAAAAGTAATCAAAATTCAAATGTCATCTCTGTCTTGTCAGGTCTGAGACGCAGCCAGGCAGCTATTGTCTGTGCTCTCCGCTAAGTGCCTAGCTGAATACTGAATAAAGCTGTAAAATTAGAAGCCAAAATGTACTGAAAGCACACCAACCCATTTCTCCTGCCTCCTCGCAAACATAAGTCATTGATCTAGTTACGATTAGTTCACAACACCTGAAGTGCAGCAGGGGCAGCACAGAACCCAGTTTGCAAGCAAACTGCCTGGATCGATGTTAACCATGCTAAGCTCCCTGCTGTCAGAATCACACTAACAGTAACCAAGGCAATTTAAAGCTGGCACTAATTGCAGCACAGCCATCTTGTTGTCAAAACAAAACCAACCAAAAATACGTGAAAAGGGAATAAAGTCATCAAAGAACATCCTTGTCCATTGCCACCAGAGACTGAAGAAAGCTGGCCATGTTTCACTGTGTGTTGTACGTGCTACTGCGAAAGGCAGCAACACAGCAACATCAGCATGGGCATCAATGGTAAACTCTTACTAAACTGATGTCACTGGGAGTTTTGCTTTGCCTTTGAAAAGAAATCTCCACTGCATCTCCAGGGGTCATTTTTTGAGGAAATAAGATTAACCTTTCTGGTCTGTGCTTGAGATCAATGTGACAGGGGAAAAATAGGCTAATCTGGAAGTTACAAATGGGGAAACATCAACCTTTCTGAAAAAATAGCTATAAAAACAGTTTAGTATGAAGAAGTGGACCTTGAAACAAAAGCTTGCTTGTACTTATCAGTAGAAATAATATGTTTAACATTCATTCTTGAACCTACAAAAAAAAAAATAGAAATCCAGCCTATGACTCCCTCAGAACACTGTCTTCCATAACACTTCTTTTTGGTAGGCTGTAACACCCCTGTTCCGTGATTCTTATTACCTTGGTATTATGTCATTTGCAATCATCTCAAGATTTTGAGGATATAATCCACAAATAAATATATTCATATGTTTATTCCCTCAGGCCAGAGCATCCCCTACTCAGCCTGCAGTTACTCCAGTACTTCGGTGCATTTAGTGCTTTTGCTTGGTAGCATATTAGTTTACAAACGTCTGCACATTTCAAAAGATTTGCAAGCTAATGAGTGGAATCCTATTCTGAAACATCTCATACTATTTCTTAGTCAAATTTCCCAAGAAACTACATGCAAATGATCACGGAGTGCATCTGTCAGCCTCTCTTCCCAATTGTTTGCAATTCATTAGCAAAACCTGACAGAACATTTGTAAAGATATTAAGATTCTATAGGTTTTTATGGAAAGCAGTGATCATATCCAGAAACAAGCAAAATCAAATGCCCCAACTGCAGAAGAAGGTGCAGCAGAGGTCGTTATCTCTCTTGTTGGCCTGCCAACTTCCCAACTAGACAAATGTTGCTCAGAGCCAGGCACAGCATATGCTGTCTAGCATTTTAAGACAGAGGAAGAACTAAGGAGACTTGGAAATGTGACAGAAAAATGAATTACTGCAGTAGGGTGTAGGGGAATAAAAAATATGATTGTGATGGCAGAGAGGGCTGAAGATGCGGGAAGGCCTGTAGGGTGGTTGGCCTACTGAAAAACAAGAAAGTTTTAGCAGAAGGGAAGA